TCTTCCACCTCCTTTGCCGAAAATGCCATCCGAGTCTTGGCTTTGGCGTGCCCTGCCTTCGAGAAATTATCGTCAGTCTTACAACGGCACTCGTTTTAAACCGAAAAAACAGGAACCTAAGACACCTGCTACTGATGCCAAATGGGAAACAATTGTCAAAACATCTTACTTGCATCATGATCACGTTCGCTATTCCGAGGTAATCTTGTCATTCTTTTTAAACAATGAGATTGTCTTCTCTCTAATAAGAACTTTCATCTTTGTAAACTTTCAACATTTGTGTCCATTACAGGAACTAGTAACTCCATTTTCTCAGCAATCCAAAACTTAAAAAGGAAAACACCGAGGGCATCATCGAATTCCTCATGCTCACTGCCTTTGGTTGGGCTGTTTCAGTTTCGACATGGTCAGAGCTGGTTAAAGATTTTGCTGCAGCCTACCATTTTTCTCCTTCCACTTGCCTTCGGTAGGCAATCGGATTTGTTAGCTTTCGTTATTGTACAAGCTTGTAAGCTGTTCATTTCTTTTTCTCTACATCAACCATAACTGCAGGCAGCGGCTGCTTTTACATCAAGTCCGATTCAAATCTTGTAATGATTACAAATATTTTTTCCACTTTTGTAATTGGTTGTGGTGCTTCTCTACACAGGAATCCAACAGGTGTTTGTGAAAATATATTGGATATAAAACGCTTCTTTGTTGTACAAGTAAACTTGGATTGTAATTGTTCAAATATACTAACATAATGCATGTGTCTCCGTCACTGTGTGATATGAGTTTTGGGACGAAACATCCCGAGCTTTCACACGTACAGCTGCCACCATGGTCACACCAAAAGGCGGTACCATCAGCACTCAGTTGCGAACAGTGACACATGCATGAATTTGACTACCAATCTTCAAGCTAAATCTCTAGTTTTATTGCAAATGGCGAAAATATCAAGAAATTGTAAATCACAACTCACACACCTACCTATTTCCTATAGGCTCTAGACGAGTACTTAGAAAGATCTCACTTCCACTTCTTCCTGTGGGTTTGTTTTTACGTTGTTTGATCCTTAGTTAAGTACTCGACCTCGATCGGCCTCGTCTGCAACAAACTAAGAAAGCGAAATCTGAGTGCTTATTTCCTGCGTGTCTTTATAATAGCTACTCTTGCCATCATCAAATAATCCGATTCTTCGGCTTAGACTTAACTGCAAATCAGGCAACCATTCCCTGTCCTTGAGCGGTTTATCCCGGTTCAACTGCGTTTCCAGTAAAACAAATAAAGACATTAGTTTCAGTTAATTATATGTATAATCAAAGTCAGCAGGCGATTATCAACTCTGTTCTACAGCTACTGAATTTGCTCACGGAATGGTGCTTGTTTCCAAGGTTTCCTTCATATGGCCTTGTGGAGTAAACATATTCTTTCAAAAGGATGCCACCTCTTGTCTTGAGAAATCTGCCTGCAAGTGCTTTAATTGGTCCAATTTTTCCATGGATTTGGTTTGGATTGCAACAGAAGTCATTTGCTTGTGATAATGCTGAACTTCACCTTGTCCAGCCATCAAGCTTCTTACTTCTATACATCTGAAACAAGAATATCGATATAAAAATGTAAAATAATGGATTATAAAACTTGAAAATTACTGCAAGGAGAGGTAAATATTGAAGATCAAAATGGGTTCTTTTTACATGTGCAATGCCAAGTCCCCTCACATTCATCAATTGAAGAACCAACTTTGGAGTTGCTCCTGCAATAAATTATAAACACAGTTACTAAAAGCAAAGGAAATGGTCGACTGATTCGAAACAACTTCCGTCAAAATGAAATCCCGGTCGGTGCGATAGTCGAAGAACTAACTCTCTTGACCACTTAGCCTTTCGACGGCTCACACGAAAGAGAGATGCATATCATGAGTCCACCGCAGCCTAGGCGATTTCGACCTAATGTATTGCCTCTCTCTTCTTCCATCATTTCTGTTGTCAATCTCATCACCCTCTTCAGTACTTGATATTTCATCATGACAACAATCTTCATTCAAGTCGAAGGAGGAACACTTATGTCCAAACGACATTGCAGACAAGTTCTCAGCTTGTTGCTCTTCATCATGCATCTTCAACGTTGCCTCCTGCTGATGCAAATATTGCCTTCAAATCTGTTTATTTAATGCAACATTCGTTTAAAAATAAACTTGGACCCTTGAATTATATATGAAATGAATCAACAAATGAAACCCCATCACTTGTAGGGTTTTAAATATTTTAGATGAACTTGTGATTCAGTAAATGCAACAATTAATGGGTGAGGAGGACATTGTTTAGGTGACAGGTTTAACTGCACAAACTTATTGCATTGGTTGGTTTCTTGAATTCATATATCATACATACATACATACATACATACATACATACATACATACATACATATATAAGTATTATGTATGATTTATTAGGTAAAAATCATCACTATTGCTTAAAATTCAGTTTCTGCAAAAGTGGTACCAAGTAAATAAAAAGAATCCGAACTGCACTGCTGTTGTCTGTTGATTAGAACAGAAGGGGAAGAGATGATTAAACAAAGCTTTATGTCAGAAAAGATTTACTTGTGAAGAACTGGGAATTGCAGCTCATAACATAGTAAAACATCATCTTTCATTCATTCAAGAACACCATTTCTTATTATTCCAGAATACTTTTAAATACTCCTATAGATTAATTATCTATAACCCTAGTGCTAAAGTTTAAAGGGAAAAGAGATCATTCCTCAGACACAGAAAAGAAGAACAGTTTTAACAGATTTTCAGTAGAAGATAGAAAAATAAAAGTTAAACAAACTAAGAAATGGATCTCTCAAACCAAGGAAACCATGTTTTTTCTTTTCTTTTCAATCTTCCTCAAAGAATCAAATTACCATTCAAGATGAAGATCCTTGAGCCTACATTCCTTCCAAGTTGTTGATCATCTGAAAACCCCTTTTCTTCTACCTGAGAAATGGTTTGAGAAGGATATATATTCAACCATGTTTTGACAAAATCCACTTGTTCTCTTCACAGATTCACATTATAGATACAGTTGCAAGTGTTGCATACATCATCTGACCTTATTCTTACTCCTACTTCCATGAATAAATTCATTTTCTTAATCTGACAATTTGTCCTCAAATTTAATAAATATTAATGACTTTTTAATTACAATGATGTATGCATACAGTTGCACCAATTTTACTTATTAAATCAGAGCATCACTCTTGTCTTCTCCCGTGCTCTTATTGTTTAGGGTCTACGAATTTTAAATTATCATATATTTTATATATTTTCTATTCTCTATTAATAATCTATATTCGCCCCTTTAAAATTTTATTAGTTTATTCTTCATTAAAATTTTAAAAATTTATCGTTTACCATAAAATCACATGTAAATAAGAAAAATGGGTGTCCTTATTAAGCTGGAATTAGTATGGGGTCGACCATGGCGAGCAAGCAACATTTGGTCAATTTTGGAAAGTCTACTATTTTCAAACAAGTTGCCTTTTCATTACATTTTATTTCAATTATATACATAAAATGTAATAAGAAATTGATAAATTATTATTTATTTAATTTTTAAGTTACATCAACCCAAAAAATAAAAGTGGAAAAATAATTGATTAATTACTTAATATTAGATCATGTTACTACTATATTATCAATGTACATTGTGATATATATATATATATATATATATATATATATCTTATATGCATTTTGATTTCGATAAATAGAGGAGTTAATTTAAGAAATTTAAAAGTGAGCATGAATAAACTTATTTTAGTGGCTAAAAGAATCGTTGGTGTTTCTAAAAGTTAAGAGTTTAAGAACCAGGGACTAGGGTTGAGCAACAAAATCGAGGAAACCGAAAAACCGACACGAACCGAGTAAAACGGTTCGGTTCGGTTTTCGGGTTGGTTTAAAGTCTCAATTCTATTGATTTGGTTCGGGTTTTTCATATGGAACCCATTTGTTCCATATTGAACCGAATAGACAATTTTTTTAAAAAATTTATAGTTTCAAGTGAATTTTTCATTGAAAACCCGATAAACCGAATCGAACCAAAAAAATCGGTTTCACATAATTCGGTTTTTTAAACATTCGGTTTCGGTTTAAATTCTAAAACCCGTTTATTTCGGTTCGGTTTAATTTTTAGTAAAAAACCGAATCGAATACACCCCTACCAGAGACTACAAAGGTGATTGAGCATTCATTGTAATAATACATCATACTTTTGTTGAATATCTATTGAATAATGCATTATTAACATCTATAATATGCTAAAAAGGAAAATTAATGGAATATTAGTAAGCAAAAAACAAACAAATATCTAAGTGAGAGGACAATGATGGTAAATATAATAATCAGATTTGTTTATTATCTTTTGGTAACATCAAAAGGATTTACTTTTCGATAATGAGAAAATATAAATTTGGACTGATTTGTCTTCTCTTATTCCACACATAAATCTGATTATATATTATATAATCTTTTAGAAAGGAAAATAAGAATAACTTAAAAGATTAAGTTTGACTAAATGACATTCACAAGCAGTTTGTTATGAGGGATATAATACGATTTATTATTATTTTTTAAATTAAATATCAAGATTCGAACTTATAGACAAAACAATCTGAACGTTTTGATTACTCAATCACCTAATAATTTTTTTCGTAATATATGAACCCAATTAAGCATTACCACTAATGGTAATTAGTGTATGTCAAATTCATTATATGAAACTAATCATATGGGGAACATTAATCGAAGAAAACGACGGTCTATGTCTCATGACAAAACTTAATGATACCAATATAAAAAAATATATACAACAAAACCTACTTTTTAAAGTAAAAAATAAAATTATACTTGTCCTAGTTTCATGCAAATCTGTAACAGGTTAGAGAAGAAGGCAAAGTACATGGACAAACAAGGTAGGGATCGGGTTCTTAAACATGTAAACTCAATGACTCGTCTCTGTTTTTGCTTAAAAAGTAAGATCATTGTACATCTCCGATATAATCAAACCCTTCTGGCTATCTCTTCTCTGTCCCCATTTCCTCAGCTGAATCTGCAACATGCAAGTCCCGGCCAGGAAATCCAGAGATTGGGACGGATTCAACACATCAAGAACACCTTTCAGGGTCTTCAGCCTCACACAATCCGCCGCCTTCATCACCCTCTCCAGCCCCGTCAGTATCCCCTTCACCGCCACCTCCACCAATCCCTCCACCTGACCCGCCACCACCACCACCAGCTCCTCGTTCCTTATACGCCTCGCAATCCGAACCAGCTCGACTATTTTCCGGTCAGCCATTGCCACTTGCTGCCTCTCCATTTCCCTCTCCACTTTCTCTTCCTCCAACTTTATCTTCACCCTCAACTGCTCTATCTTCCTCACTTGTTCCTCCGTCAACTCGGCCAAACACGGACCGGGCACCGGAATGTTCCTCATTGAGTCGACGAGGTGGAATATCATGGACGGCTTCCAACCGGTCAACCACGAATAAGCATTCTCTAGCTTGCTTAACCAGACCGGACAATAAAATACAAGCACATCTTCATGCGCGGCGGCCCATTTGACCGTGTAGTATTCTTTGTAATGAGTCGTCAGTTTCCACACCAGAGCTTGACGGTCAGCTTCGGTTAAAACAAGAGTACTGTCCTTGGACACGTACAGCAACTGTTGAAGGTACACATCGAGTTGACATATCCACTTCTCGTAGAACTCAGTGAACCGTTCTCCGACTTTACTCTTCATCATCACAGCATGCAATTGAATATGCAGATTTCTTTTTGAAGGAAAAAAGAAGAAGGAAAGGTTCAGCCTTTGACTAGGTTAAGGAGTCATGCATGCGTCTCACCAGCTGGTGCAGATATTCTTGTGTGAATTAACGTGTCGATGTGGGAAACAATCTCGGTTCAACGTGGAACCCATTCACGCTTCACGTTTTGGTACGAGCCTTTTTTGTCTGTGCTTTGCTCATGAAAACTCTCGTGTGTGTTCACTGAGTTCAAGTTTAGAACCGGTTTAACCATGTTTGCATGGGGTCGGGCAGTGTGTGAGTTGTTCATGAGGATGATATTTTCCACGTGTCTTTGCGTATTTGAGTGAATATAAGGCAAACCCACCTCATGAACTACAAATGTTCATCGTCTCGTAACCTTAATGTCCACGATGTTTGATTTTGAGTACTTGGTTCACCTTCATCGTTATTAGAATTCAAATTGATTATATTAGTAACGTAATGAATATATTGATTAGTCGTGGTGCTATCGTTATGGAAAAGGTTGGTTAAATTACATAATTCACATCTTTTAATTTTAATGTTAAACCGAAAATTACGATGGTTCACTCTTAAATAAACTTTTCTCGAAAGAATCATTTGAATATATTCTTATCTTACATGTTTTGTGATGATGTGGGATGATGATGTGGGATGATAAAGTAAGGGACCAAAATTATTATTTTTTGAACCGATGACTAAAATCTGATGAACCTAAAATAAAGGGACTGTTGGTGTAGTTCACCTTTTTTTTTTTTTTTGCAACTGCAACTTTTCCCATCGATGGGAATGAAGATTGACTGGTATCAAAAGATAAGCAATCCTAGCATGTGGTATTGCCATTTTTAATTTTTTGTCAGGTCATTAACCTCCAAAAGCAAGAAAAACACAAAAAAGGGTTTACAACTCGATCTAAGGGGTTGTAATAATGACAACACAGGACCACATTCGTTAATGTCACAACTGTATCTCAAAAGTGGCTTGATTGTACAATTGTCATATCCCAACAAAACCCAGAGCCTAAATCAAGCTGATTTGACATCAACAACCGATGAATCAGATGTTAAAGTTCATTTGTTCCCTTCAACTATAAAAATGCGAGACGCCATTGAACTACTGTTTTAGAACTTCACAGTGACGTTGAGCGATTTGAAAGTGCATAGAAATGTTACTTGCGGCTTTCATCTTCATCAAATGTGCAAATACACATATGATCAGATAAAGAGAGATGCGATTTCTTGCAAGAGACTATAGTCATTTGAACACATGCATGGTGTCAGATTTTGACACCTATTCTCTTGTTGCAAACTAATACAAGTTCCCTTCCTTGCACACAATTTTATTTATCATACTCTACACCTAGAAATCAATTAAGTTGATAAACACGTGAATGAATTCCATGGATAAACATTATACATTATCAAGACAATATCACAGAGAATTCATATCTAAGAGCAATGTGGGTGTTGACGGTCGAAAAAGGAGAAGGCAATGGAGGCATCGCCGACGACGACCATAGCCAAAAGGGGAGATGATAAGGTTAAGTTATGATTTTTAGGGTTGATTTTAGGGTCTTTTAGGGATTTAGGATTTTTTTTGTAATTATATAAAATTTTGGATTCTTTAATATAATAATATTTTTAAAAAATTTAAATAAAATTTCTAAAATTATCAGGACGTGACATGTGTTACTTAACATAAGTTTTTAACGGTCGTGGTACCTAAAGTGGTAACGTCTGTAACATTAGACACTCATATTGACTGAAAAAATTAGACACTAGTTTAGAAAAATGATATAATTTGATTTTTTTGTATTAATCCTTATAAATATGAAAACTATCCTAATGCTAATTATGATAATTTATTTTTCTCTTTTGATATTATAGTCGTGATTTGATAATATTAAAAAATAAGAACAGTAATAACAACAACAGTAAAGTAAACATCAATTAGCCCTAGTTAAGTGACCAACAATGATATTATTCTTGTTACTAATCAGTGATAGTCATTATTCATTATTTTTTATTTATTTTATTATATCTTTTTTTTTTAATTTTAACAACTCTATCTTTATGTTACGCTTTCATCTGTCTTTGGTTCATTATCAGTTGTTTGATCGTTGTTTTCATTTTTTAGTGTTAAATTTGAAATCACAACTACTGATTAAGATGTCGTTTATTTATTACCATAATGGTTTTGTATACTATAAATTATCATATTGGTTTGGATAAGCGATTTGCATTCGTGAATATAATTTTTACGTCGCTCGAATCTGATTTACGATTTATCGATAATCTTTCAATAATTTGATATATTTTTGTAGTTCGTTTATCGATGTGGTCAAATTTGTTCGTATTTATCTTTTGTTCGATTTTATTTGATTAAAATTTTTAATTTTTTCCTTATATGATAATTATTTGTTCTTTAAGTGATTAATTTTTTCCTCCTCTACTTCATCCTGTATTCTGTGTAAAAAATATGTTTAAATAAATTCAAATTTCAAAATATATAGTCTTACTTTAATGTTATAAAAAAAACTATACATGGGGCTGGGCTTAATAGGCTTGGACTTAATTTGGAAGACTAAAATGTTTTTTTGGGCTTGAGTCTTAACCCCACTTTCAGATCCAGCGCGTCGTCCCAACTTCACCTTCCAAAAACCAGCCTTTCCCCCTTCCTCAGACCTCACCATAGCTGTCTCCGCCCCCTAAAATTTTCGAAAATTACCGATCAGCTGGTTCTAAAAGCCAAACCCTAATTTTTCTAACCCATATCCCTAATTCAATCAATTTTTCATCTCAGTTCAAAATTTCCCCGAATCAGGAACCCTAGATTACATGGCGTCGAGGAAAAAAGAATATGAAGGGATTGCGTTGCTATCCATGTATAACGACGAAGATGACGAAGAGATGGGAGACATTGAAGAAGGTGACAACCAACAAATCCAACAAGCTGGAGAACAAGAAGAGGAGGAAGAAGAAGAGCAGCGCCCGTTAGAGGAAGAGAACGAGCGCAGAGAATCTAACAACATGGAAGAAGATTCGAGAACTAACGATAATACGCCGCCGTTTCTTCACCAAAGTTCATCCCTTTCGCAACAACAGCAGGAGCCTTCCGTTTCTTCCCCACAGCAACATCGACCCATGGTTTCTTCGAAGAGAAGTAGAGGAGGAAGGCTTACCATTGTTGAGTATGGCCACGATGAAGCTGTCATGTCACCGGAGCCCGAGGTAACCCCTCTTCATCTCGCCAAAGTCATTTAAAAAGATAAAAATAAAAAGGGTTCCTTTTATTGTTTAATGATATGTGATTAGATTATTTTTTCTTGTTTAAGTACAGGAAGGGGGATTAGGAAGCAATGATGACCTTATGATTGACATAGAGAAACCAAATGCCAATGGTATTTGATTAATTTTATTATTATTGTTTTCTTTTATCAATGTAAGTTGCTTACTAACTTATCATTTGTTTTGCAGGTGATTTTCAAGGAATAACGCCTCCGGCAGCTGTTCAATTGACTCCGCAATCTTCAAATTTAGAACCATTAGTGCCTGAGGCCTTGACCAATGCTGTTACTGAATCAGAAGGTATAGAATTTGAAGAACCGTTTCTGTAGACAATGTTGATCCTTTGGATAAGTTTCTTCCATCTCCACCAAAAGCCAAGTGCTCGGAGGAGTTACAAGTAAGTGTCTTTTGTATGCGATTAGTCATTGTTTATAATTGTTTGGACCTAACATAAACAGACTGAAGTTATACTTCTGTAACCCACCCGCATGTTTTTCTGCTGAGATGTATTGAAGATGTTGTGCTAGAACTATTTTGTTTTTATGAGAGACGAATTAAGGTAGGCGTATTTAAGGTGTTTCCGTTTGTTATCTGAAGACCATCTGATCCGTGGCACTCACTAAGTTGTAGATGTCGAATCTGGTTTCTACAGGGCTGAGTTATATTTGTGTAATTTTAGTCTGGCTGATTTTGAGTTTCGTCTGGGATTTTGGTTAATTGCAATATCGGTTATCCACACCCTCTGCTGTTGAAAGAAAGATGGGTAGCTCATGATATCTAATTCTTATGAATGTAGTGGTTGTTTTATATCAATGAAATATCCATTGTTGATGATTTAAAAATGATCCAAGCTTTATTGCTTTTTTCCTTTTGTTTTATGTTTTCACGACCTTCATTTCTTTCTGCTTGCTGCTACAGAGGAAAATAGATAAATTTCTCAACTTGAAACGAGTTGGGAAAAGCTTCAATGCAGAAGTTCGTAATAGGAAGGATTATAGGAACCCGGACTTTTTGCTGCATGCTGTGAGATATCAAGACATTGATCAGATAGGGTCTTGCTTCAGTAAAGATGTATTTGATCCACATGGATATGACAAAAGCGACTACTATGATGAAATAGGTTATAACATTAGCTTCTATAATTCTCTCCTTTATATATTGAAAGCACTTACTATTTTTTGTTGACCCTGGACGCATCAATGCATTACCTGTTGAGTGTTGCTTTCTCTTATTTGTTTTCATTGAAGTTTTTGCTAATGATCCCAGTAGGCTTTCTCAAATTTTAATCTTCTTACCCTTGTTTGTTTAAATGCAGAGGCTGATATGAAACATGAAAGAGAGAGGAAGGAACAAGAAAGCAAGAAGAACCAAAAGGTTGATTTTGTATCTGGTGGAAGTCAACCTGGAGCAGTTCTTACTGCCCCAAAAGTTAACTTGCCTACTGCAGGTGTTTTTTTTTTTTTGCTTTTGGAAGAAATCTTCTTATACGAGCGTGTATCATGAGATTGTGAAATGATGTCCTTATATTGAATCTTTTAATTGTGGGTGCTGGTGGCTTGCCGTCAGCTCCAACTGCAGTGGACAACATGGTTCGTGATGGTAGACAAAACAAGAAATCAAAATGGGATAAGGTTCTAACTTGTCAGTGCATCTCTGTTCCAATAACTCGTCTGCGATATCATGGACCCTAACTTTCTCATTGTTTCATTTCACGTCCAGGTGGATAGTGATAGAAGAAATCCTCTACCTGTTGGAGCGCAGCATTCTCTATCCGCAGCTGGAGCACATACGGTTATTCTATCAGCTGCTAATGCTGGAAGTGGGTACACAGCTTTTGCGTAAGTCCTATAACTTAATGGAAAATTGTTCACATCATCCGTCCTTTTTAATCCCGATGAGACTCTTTATCATGGCCACATGATTGACTTATTGAAACAAACAACTTAGAGATTGTGCATAATGCTTAGTGATCGGCACTGATTTCCTTTTGTTGTAAAATGGCAGACAGCAGAAACGGAGAGAAACAGAAGAGAAGAAATCCAGTGAAAAAAGGTTGGATAGAAGATCTTGAGGTCATTTCTTTAGTTTTGGTAGAAATTTTCCCAACAACTGTTTTTGGTAATGCTTATAGTAAATTTATACACTTAAATTGTACCATGTAGATCACTTATTACCTAATTTTAGCCATATATTAATGCTGTACCGATACAAAAATACTTCAAAGTATTTAACATTGCTGTATTGTCAAGAGCTCGAATCCAAGCCTTTGGTTAAGCTAGAATAATTCCATCCTAGTCAATACATATAGGCTTAATTAGTAAAATAAGTGGCCAAATTATAATATTTTTCACGAATAGGTGCCTACATTATTTTTTGAATGATTCCAGTGCTTAACATTACAAACGTTATTACTTTAGGTGTTTGGATCGTAAATATTGTTAATTTTCTCTGTTAAGTGACATGTCATATTTTTTATAATTTTAAAAACTTTATTTTAAATTAAAAATTAAAATTATATATTTTAGAAAAAACACACAAATTTCGAAATAGGTATAAAACTTTGAAAATCTTCATTTCAGCATCTAAACTCACATTGGCCGTCGGTCCTCGTCCTCTACTATCGATGAAGCTCTATCGGACCTCACCTATCTCCGACCATCAATATCCTTATGAGATCGCAACTGAGTGAGGTTTTGTATCCCATGAATCATAGAATGAAAATCGTGATCTCGTGCGATTTTGATGACCAATCGGTCGCAACTACGGCGACGTATGACTAGGAGGATGGTAGGAACTAAGTCGACGGCGATGGTCATGGCCAGAAAAAACGACGAGAGTGGGTTATAGTTAGTATTTAGGATTATTAAAAAAATTAATATATTAACCTATTCATGAAAAACGATATAGTTTGAACATTTATTTTATAATTAAGCCATATATATATATATATATAAAAGATGGGATCATGGTCGTGGGGGATGGGGATACAGAATTAAGGGCTCAAAGATCTATGGGGTGCTTGTGTTGTGTCTATGGCATCAAATTAGAGACGTTGGAGAATCGTACAGTGTTCCCTGCATCTATTTCTGTCTCGAATTCAGATCCTTCTATGTTTGAAACACCCAAGCCCAACAATCCAGTTGAAGAAGGTATATATATATATATTTGCTTTCCTTTATTAGTTACTTAAGTACACTAATGAGAGAAAAGAAGCACAATGCCACCACCAATTATTGAGATGATTGTCTATATCGACCAATCATAACACCATCCACCAACGGTAACATTTGGGTGCTTTTGGCATGTTGCTTTAGGGGTAATTTCGGAATACCGGATAAAGTTAACGGAAACTTTTTTTTATACATAAATCAAAAGCTGTGAAAAAACATGGGGTTAGAAAAACAAATCTCAAACTCTCTCTGCAGTAAGTAAAGTGGAGAGTGGAAAAGCCTTCGGTGGGCAGCAAAGTTCCTCTTTTCCCTTCTTTTTTTGTTGACATTCAATCTAAAGTTTTGATCTTGAGTGGATTTTCTGCTGTTTTTACTCTGGTTTGAGCTTAAAGATCGATTCTTTTATTCATTTTGTGAATGCCCATTTGAACATTTAAACTAAAGTTCTGGTTTTGAGTGAATTTTTCATCTGTTTTTAGTCTGGTTTGAGCTTAAAATTTGGTTTTTTGATCATTTGTTGAGCACCCTACTAGAGTTTCAAAGGCAAAAAAGCCAAAATTTTTAAGCTATGGCAGAACCAAAACCTGAGGAAATAAGCCACCCACCAATGGACCAACTTCAAGGCCTAGAGTACTGCATTGACTCAAATCCTTCTTGGGGTGAGTATTTTTCTTTTACCCCATCCCCCCTAAACTTTTCCAGCAGTTGTTTTTGTTTGTTCTGTTTTTGTAACCCTCTCTTTTTGCTTGTGGAAGCAGGAGAAGCTATAGCTTTGGGGTTTCAGCATTATATTTTGGCCTTAGGAACTGCTGTGATGATCCCTTCTTTTCTTGTCCCTTTGATGGGAGGAACTGATGTAAGTCACTTTGCACATGTAACGAATTACAATACTATTTTTTGTTCTTTTATATTTGTTACTGAAAAATTTTCATTTCGGCATTGTGATGGTTTAGGATGATAAAGTAAGAGTGGTTCAGACACTGCTATTTGTTGAAGGGATTAATACACTTTTACAAACACTGTTCGGAACTCGACTACCTACCGTTATTGGCGGTTCTTATGCCTTCATGGTTCCCATCATATCAATAATTCATGATACTTCTTTGCTGAGTATTGAGGATAACCATATGGTTAGTACAATTCTATGATCATTTCCCCCAAATCTTTTACTTTGTTCGTAAAGTTCAATATTTTACGTGTATGCAGAGATTTCTATATACTATGAGAGCTGTCCAAGGTGCACTAATAGTAGCATCAAGCATACAAATTATCTTGGGATACAGTCAAATGTGGGCTATTTGCACCAGGTGCAACTTTGATCTTAAATGGAGTTTCTGTATCAAAATTATGGAGAGACATAATTTGAGAAACTATTAACTGAGTGGTATTTTGTTTTCGTTTTCCTTTTTACAGGTTCTTTAGCCCCCTTGGAATGGTTCCGGTTATTGCACTAGTTGGCTTTGGCTTGTTTGACAGAGGCTTCCCTGTGGTACAAGATAGAAGCCCTGAGACTTTTTTGAACCCTAATGAGAATTTTTCTTCCTATCATATCACTGTGTTGTTTTAACTTGTTATCGACTCACTATCAGGTTGGTCGCTGCATCGAAATCGGCCTCCCGATGCTCATTCTATTTATAGCCTTCTCCCAGGTACTACTATTCCTTCTAGCAATGTAATGGACTAATATTGTTTGCATTAAACGTTGCTACATCAAGTGCTTGCATACTGTATCTAATATTAAGATGAGAAGTCTCACATTTGCGAAGTATCAATATTAATGTGTTGTGTTTATCTTCTGCCAAAAACAGTACTTGAAGAATTTTCTTATAAAACAAGTGCCAATACTGGAGCGGTTTGCTCTCATTATATCAATCGCGGTAATTTGGGCATATGCACATCTCTTGACAGCAAGTGGTGCATATAAACATCGTCCCGAGTTAACCCAATTGAATTGCAGAACCGACAAAGCCAACCTCGTTTCTTCTGCTCCATGGTGGGTCGGTTTTTATGTTCTTGTCAAATCCATGGAATACTTCTTAGTATTGCCTTTCTGACTGAAATTTATTCATTCAGGATAAAGATTCCTTATCCTCTTCAATGGGGTGCTCCTACTTTTGATGCCGGTCATTCTTTTGGAATGATGGCTGCTGTTTTAGTCTCATTGATTGAGGTACTCATTAAAATTCATAAATTGAATAGTCGTATGTTAGTTAGTGATTCAAAGCTAATAAATGTTTGCTTTGGCAGTCAACGGGAGCTTACAAGGCTGCTGCACGCCTAGCCAGTGCTACGCCACCTCCGGCTCATATTCTTAGCCGTGGTATTGGTTGGCAAGGCATTGGGATCCTTCTGGATGGGTTATTTGGAACACTGACTGGTTCAACAGTCTCTGTGTAAGTATGATTGCTTCTTGCTCTGAAAATTATTGATTTATTATGACACCATACCATACTAATTCATGGTAAAACAACAGAGAAAACGTGGGGCTTCTCGGAAGCACTCGTGTTGGAAGTCGCAGGGTCATTCAAATCTCAGCAGGCTTTATGATATTCTTTTCGATGTTAGGTGAGTGTTAAAGTCTTTTAGTATCTCTGTCTATCGTTGTTTCCTCTATCGACTTTAAAGTCGATTTCTTTCCTTCTGCAGGAAAATTCGGAGCTTTGTTTGCATCGATACCTTTCACCATATTTGCTGCTGTGTATTGTGTTTTGTTCGGTTACGTTGGTGAGTATTGATACCTCTCACAATAACATTCTTGTATAACCCCATAGGAATGTTATTTTCAATATGTTGCTTTGCTTCTGACTATGGCTCTACTAATTGCTTTCAGCTTCCGTGGGGCTTTCGTTCTTGCAATTTACGAACATGAACTCCATGAGAAACCTCTTTATCGTTGGCGTTGCATTGTTCTTAGGTTTGTCGGTTCCTGAATACTTTCGAGAATACACTGCCAAGGCTCTACATGGTCCTGCTAGTACCCAAGCTGAATGGGTCAGTTTTAAATGTGTCTCCATAGCACTTTTCTCGTTCAACTCTTCTGATAAGCAACATACCATTGACTTGTATTGTACTATTTTTGGCATATGCAGTTCAATGATTTCCTTAATACCATCTTCTTTTCATCTCCGACTGTTGCATTCGTTGTTGCCGTACTCTTAGATAACTCACTCGACTATAAAGACAGTGCCAGAGATAGAGGAATGCCATGGTGGGCTAGTTTCCGATCGTTCAAAGGCGATGCCCGGAGTGAAGAGTTTTATACACTCCCTTTCAACCTCAATCGTTTCTTCCCCCCATCATAGATCATCATCGACAACGGTGTTTGGGTTGCTACCAAAAGCGCACTGGCCATATGTATATCTGACTTGGGTTATATAGATTTAATCCGATATCGATTCGGTTATTAAATTAAATTCTTTTTTTTATGTATGTTGAGTTGCTGCTAGCTCTAACAGTGTTTGCAAAAGTGACTTTGCAAGAACTCTGTCAATCAAATGTAGCAATGCACTTTTTGGCTTGGAGGAATTCAATATCTAAAATTAATCATAATTCTTCTCTTTTTTGTATATGTGCAATTTTATTAACAAATCTTATGATCTGCACATGCATTCTGGGCACCTTGGCTGTCGATAAATGCTTCGACCAGAGCCCCTCACTCGCACTCTTTGGCCTTCCTCGATCATCTTTCTTATCCTATCTTCAAGTGTATTCCATCCTATGGAGCTATTCTCTGAAAAAATCGCTGCTAACCTCCTCTTGTTAGGTCGCAAGGTTGGAGCATGTCCATCACCGTAGTAAGTTCGGAATCCGGATACCAGCGATGATAGTTGGCTTCCGGAGTCTGTCATGGCAAAGACATCTGAAGTTGCACAAGCAATGAAATCTAATGCTGCCAGCTGCATCCAAAGCATTTGTAAGTTATAAATATGTACCCAAAAAAAGTTATTACAAAGATTGTCTGAATCCGAAAATACCTGAGAAGAGAAATTTTGAAAAGGAGCAAGTTCAATGGGAGTGAGCAGTGTTTCCTTAGTGACCAAATTGGGGTATAAACTGGTAAAAGGACGCATCCGGTAACTTCCGCCATATATACGAGACCCTGCGAGATAAATGTAAGTTCCATGCTTGAAACCAAGAGCGGCAAGAACTAGTACGGCTTCTTCGGGTGTCAATGGGCATCTTCCCAACTTCCGCAACTCCGCAGGAGAAACAGGCCTACAAACATCAATGGTGGAATGAATGGATAGATCAGGTATGTGCATGGAAACAATATCAAGCTAAATAATAATGACAGAAGGATTTTAGGGCCATACTTCGAGTTCTTTAAGCGCTCGATGAGCAGAGGGAAGTGCATCTCTCTGTAGGTTTCAAGTTCCTTTTTCTCGTATTCTCCGCCTCCGAAATCGCATAGGGAGTATGCCACCATATCCTCTTCGAATCTCAAGTGTAATGCAAGGTATTTAGATGAGCCTCTTGCAACATAATCTCTTCGGAGGAATTCCCGGGACCGAAATCTCCTAGCAGTTGTTGATCCAACTGACGTTCGGTAGCATCATATTTGAACTTCCTTATCCTTTTGATTAATAGTGAACCGACTTTTTGGATTTTCGGAACGAACTTTAATGCATGGAAGTTACATTTACATCTCAATCTCTGCAATGGAGCGAAGATTATATCAGTGACAGTGCTGATATACTAAAAGGTTTCATCCTGCAATAGTTAAACATGCAACGGATGTCACACACCTGGAGATCAGAAGGTAATGGATCAAAGCCGAGTCGGTTGCCGAATCCAAGGAAGTGAACAACTTTGTTCTTCATAAGGAGGGGAAGTACAGTGCCGACATAATCGTTCGGCTTCGCTTCTTTCGGGATATCTGCATCCGTAATCTGTATCGAGGTTAACAAAAACCGAAAAGCAAGACTAGAGTTTTCAGACTTTCAATGCAATGTAGAAAGAAAGAGAACTTACAAGACTACCAATGGCTTCGACATCCAAGGACTTCAAATGCGGAGGAAGTTCCCGCACAATATGTATATCATCCTTCAACATGCTCATAAAATAGTCTTCTTGGTAGATGTCACCGAACTGGCTGCATTTCGGTTCGAAATCACTATTAAGTATTTTGATTTTCTACCGGTTGCATATTCATATACGAACATGGAAAACGATGGTGAAATGTGAATAAACAGAGGCCACTTCATCAAAGAAGCAGAAGATTACATAATTACCTAGGATCCTTCCATACATTGCTGTAAAGAAATTTGGGAAGAACCAGAGTCGCATTGAGCAACGATGCCAGGGCAACTGCATTGCAAATCTGCATTGCATGGTGCCTTAATGACTGAATTCAATCTTTCAAGAACTCACCGGTGAACTTATTCACCGAAACAGACATTGAACGTTCCTAATGAAAAATGAGAAAAGAAGATCAGTTGTTCACTTACTGCTACTCGTTGTTGGTTCAGACCACCGTTCGCGCTTACCATTATATAGCCATTACTCTCTTCAGGCTTCCCTGTCTCGACATCGAAAGTGAAAGGACTTAATCATGATAACTTGCCATTATCATACACCAAACACACAAGGTATTTTACCTAGGCTAGTTGGATATCTTTTATCTGCACAAGGTTTCCATTTGGACGCTTCCCGAGATGGTTCCTCCCAAAACTTCAAACTATCTTGCTTAAACTCCTCCTGAAAATCAATGAAGATATTCGCATTTTAGCGAAAAATTATATTGGATCCTTCCGATTAGTTGTTGTTGAAAAGCCTACCTTGGTGAGTGCACTCGAAGCCGAATTTAGAAGCCTACTATACATCTCAACCGTGGACCTTTCCTCATGAACATATGCAACACTATCCCCCTTAGCATACATGTGAATATGGCATATCAGAAACAGTTTGTTTCAGTTCATCATTTTAAACAAGGTTTCATAATGACAAGTACTAATGGAAAATAACCATACCTCGCCACCATTGGAGTTCCTCTCATTCGAAATTCTGTGAAATTTGATCGAACTGAAAACCGACACCATCAGAGAATCGAGCAAGAACACGAAAATCATTAACACAACCATAAAAGCAAAGGACTTCACGTTCCGGCGAAACCAAGTGTGCCTTTTCCCAACATGAACACCCTTGCAAGGGTTAAAATGATTCTCAACTCCTAATGTTCTCCTCCCAATAAAAGAATCATTGGCCCCCGAAGACCTGAAAAATGACTTGTTATTATGATTCTTAGACATTCGACTTGAACTTCTCGGCGATCCTTGCTAATGCTACACTACCTCTCTATCAAACCTCAATCCTTCATTCATTGCCTTGACATGATTATCGAAAATATGAAACTCCTTGTTTTACTCTATTTTCTCGTTGGCTTTCTTCTAACAAAGACATGCCAACAAATATGAACATATGTCATAAGCTAATCAAGTTCCAGTTGTTGGTGAAGAAGAAGTAACATTAAAAAAATGGGGGGAAAATGGATCGATGGTGTAGAGTTTGATAAAATAAGAATGTCAAAGAAGGTGGAAGAATTCAAAGTGACGTTAAGAAGTAGGTGTTGGTGATATAGTGAGTTGGAGACGTAGAAAGAGTGGAATGCAAGGCAAATAGGTGGACGAACTCAGCTCGACTCAACTCACAGCCCCTCAACCGCAGTTTTGAAACGTTAACCTTGTAAAAGAAGAATCATATATATGCTAATAGTTACTTTCCACCAAACATAAGAAAAAGAATACTGTGGGATTTTAGCCTTCGTTATTTTCACTTACATTGAAGATTTAAGAGCATTTGACTCATAAATGATCGTAAAATTTTATATTAAGAGACGACTTCATAAATTTAAGGAGAATAAACTTATAAAAATTTAGATGGTGATAACATAATTTTAATTAAAAATATAAAAAAAATATCTAAAATTTTAAAATTTGTAGGGGACAATTGTCTGCACCTGCTCCTTCTCGGTACGTCCCTATGTGAATAACTTACACTTAAATCAAAAGAATAAAGTAATTAAACTTCTAAGATCAAAAGGAACAAAAATAAAACTAAAATTTAAATATACGAATGGCTGAGATCATAATTAGACCCTTAACCGTTAGCTTTTCTAGTTGAAGCTTGTAACTTTCGCATTTCAGAAACAGGGTTCCCTGTTTTTCCATGGCTAAAACGGCACCAAACTTGTGTTTCTCTCCCTTGAATCAAAACCAAAACCGTAGAGAAAACTTGTTGTTATCTAAAAACGGTTGCTTTATCCATAAACCTTCTTCAAAAATCACTCTCTTGTCTCCAATTTTCAGCTCTTGCACCCCTATCCGAATCTCAGCTTCGCCGAGAAGATCCATTGATCTCCATCTTACAGATTATAATGCCAAAATTCTTCAATTCTGCGAGTTGGGTGATCTTCAAAATGCCATGGAATTGCTTTTCATGTCTAAAAAACCTGAACTTGAACCCAGAACGTACAGCTCTGTTTTACAGCTTTGTGCTGGTTTAAAATCATTAACGGATGGTAAAAAAGTTCATTCGATCGTTGATTCTAATAATGTTCTACTCGATGAACTCTTGGGCTCGAAGCTTGTATCCTTTTATGCAACTTGTGGGGATTTAAAGGAAGCAAGGAGGGTTTTCGATAGAATGGAGAAAAAGAATGTTTATTTGTGGAATTTTATGGTGAGTGAGTATGCAAAAATTGGGGATTTCAGGGAGAGCATTCGTTTGTTCAAGATGATGGTGGAAAAGGGAATTGAAGTGAACTCTTACACCTTTTCTTGCGTTCTGAAGTGTTTAGCAGCTCTTGGAGGTCTTAAAGAAGGTGAATGTGTTCATGGGTATTTGTTGAAACTGGGTTTTGGTTGTTGTAATAGTGTTGTGAACTCTCTTATTGCGTTTTACTTCAAGGGCAGAAGACCTGAAAGTGCCTATGAACTGTTTGATAAATTGTGTGACCGAGATGTTATATCATGGAACTCTATGATAAGTGGCTATGTATCAAATGCTCTTGCACAGAGAGGGCTGGAGATCTTTAAAGAGATGTTGCATTTGGGTGTTGAAGTCGATTCGGCTACTATTGTAAGTGTTCTTGTCGGTTGTGCGAATTCGAGTACTCTTTCATTGGGGAAGGCTGTTCATGCTTTGGCAATGAAATCTTGTTTTGAGAGGAGAATCAACTTTAGTAACACTTTACTAGACATGTATTCGAAATGTGGTGATCTCGATGGTGCCTTACGAGTTTTCGAGAAGATGGGAGAAAGAAATGTTGTGTCATGGACTTCTATGATAGCAGGTTACACCCGGGATGGCCGGTCTGATGGAGCCATCAGATTGCTCCAACAAATGGAGAAGGAAGGTGTTAAACTAGATTTAATTGCTATCACAAGCATTCTTCATGCTTGTGCTAGAAGTGGTTCGTTGGAAAATGGCAAGGATGTACATGGTTACATAAAAGCAAATAACATGGAATCAAATTTGTTTGTGTGTAATGCACTAATGGATATGTATGCTAAATGTGGAAGCATGGACGATGCAAATTCTGTCTTCTCGTCGATGGCCGTGAAGGACATTGTTTCTTGGAATACCATGATTGGGGGTTACTCGAAGAATTGTCTTCCCAACGAAGCTCTTACAACGTTTGCTGCAATGCTCGAAGAATTGAAACCCGACAGCAGAACTATGGCATGTATTCTCCCTGCATGTGCCAGCCTATCTGCTCTAGAAAGAGGCCAAGAAATTCATGGTCACGTATTGAGAAACGGGTATTCTTCGGATCAACATGTTGCAAACGCACTCGTCGACTTATATGTAAAGTGTGGAGTTCTAGGTCTTGCACAATTACTTTTCGATATGATTTCTTCTAAAGATTTAGTCTCATGGACAGTAATGATTGCCGGATATGGTATGCATGGGTTTGGGAATGAAGCTATTACTACCTTAAATGAGATGAGAGATGCAGGAATTGAGCCAGATGAAGTCTCCTTCATTTCTATATTGTATGCCTGCAGCCATTCTGGACTACTTGAGGAAGGTTGGAGATTCTTCTACATAATGAAAAATGATTTCAACATTGAACCCAAATTGGAACACTATGCCTGCATGGTAGATCTTCTTTCTCGGACTGGTAATCTTTCAAAGGCATATGAATTCATCGGAACCATGCCTATTGCACCAGATGCCACAATCTGGGGATCTTTGCTTTGTGGCTGCAGGATTTACCATGATGTTGAATTAGCCGAGAAAGTTGCAGAACGCGTCTTCGAGCTAGAGCCAGAAAATACCGGATATTACGTGCTCTTAGCTAATATCTATGCTGAGGCAGAAAAGTGGGAGGAAGTGAAGAGAATGAGAGAGAAAATCGGAAGGAAAGGCTTAAGAAAGAAGCCAGGCTGCAGCTGGATAGAGATAAAGGGCAAAGTTAATCTCTTTGTTAGTGGAAACAATTCACACCCACAATCCAAAAAGATAGAATCTTTGCTAAAGAAGCTGAGGAGGAAGATGAAGGAAGACGGTTATTTCCCCAAAACCAAGTATGCTTTGATTAATGCAGATGATATGCAAAAAGAAATAGCTCTCTGTGGGCACAGTGAGAAATTAGCCATGGTTTTCGGGTTGTTAACATTGCCACCGAGAAAAGCAATACGAGTAACCAAGAATCTCCGAGTATGCGGCGACTGTCACGAAATGGCCAAGTTCATGTCTAAGGAAACTGGTAGAGAAATTGTGCTGAGAGATTCAAATCGATTTCACCATTTCAAGGATGGTTATTGTTCTTGCAGAGGTTTCTGGTGACTAGGCCAACACTTATGTATTTTTTGGGTAAATTGCACTTCTAATTATGTAATTATGTTTTCAATGTATTAATATTGTATCAATCAGATTATTCTATTCAAATACGACATGGAGCATATTCGGAACATGTGTGGTAAGAGTAGGAAATTTACTTTGAAGTACAATGTTAAACTTACTGGTAAAGGTAAAGATCACAGCAGCAACCTGGCCATGTTTGATGGGTACCCCGCCCATCCATCCACAGTGTGGTCCATTCTGAGTATGTAAGAACCACGAAACTTCAAATTTCATTGGTACCTTAGACCAGGACACAACTAATTTAACATCTACAACTTCATCCACCATCACCAACAACTCGGTTTTAATCATTATCTCCGAGTTCATGGTGATGCGGAGATTTTCCAGAAGGTATACCGACATACTAAATGCGTCGTTACCCTTTCGATATCGGCACGATATGAAGGAAAACACAATTTTGTAAACTCCATTGGGCCATTTTTACAATTCATTGTATGTACAAAGACCATTCGGTTGAAAATGTTTAGTCGAACAACAAATACTAAACCGAACTCGATTGAAATAAGAGATCATATAAATTTTGGATTAATGTTGAATAACATAGTTAGATAACAAACTGAATCAAAGTAAAGCACAGTGAATGACACCAGAAAGGATAAAATCGTTGAAATGGTGTCAAAAAGCAAATGCTTGAAGATCAAGAAGAATACATAACTTTTCAGGCCAACACATTAACACATAAATCATTGTATTTTAACCATTAAATGACCCCAAAAAAAACAGTAGAAAAGAACAACACACCAGTTCAATGATTCCTTTGCTTCTTCTTTTTCATTTCCCCCCTCAAAATTCCACCTATAGCTACCTTTTTTCTCAGTTATCATAAATCAAGTGTATCAAATATCAATAATAAATAAATGAAAACTTTAATCACAAATTTCCTCTAGTCCAAAAATCCAGTGCTGTTTCGTTCAACCACACCATTTTGAGATAAGAATTAAGAGAACAATAAGCAAAACAATTGAAGAAAGTCCAATTGCAACACCAATAACAGCCTTATTTGGCCGATGATGTTTCTTTTCACTTGTATCATCTGCACTATCATCATCATAATCCGAAGCATCACTGTCACTTTCTCCAGAAGATCCCTTAGAAAGAGGAGGTGACATTGGCATTCCATGTTTATCACAAGGAGAAATCCCAAGCTTCATTTTTGATGACAAAACATAATGATTGTAACACAAATTGCTATTGCCACCAACCTTGAAAGCATCCGGTCTCTTTATGAAACTAGCATTGAAAGGCAAAACCCCATGAAGATCATTGTTCTTATGTTTCAACACTTTCAAGCCTTTCAACTCTGAGAAAAACCTTGGGACAGTACCATTCAATTGGTTATTACTCAGATCAACATGAACCAAGCCTGGAATACCTGATATAGAATCTGGGACTGACCCAGAAAATGAATTGGAACCAAAGATAGGTTTTTAATGATATCAAATCACCAAACTCAGTGGGAATCACCCCATTTAGCCTATTTGAAGAAAGGTTTAAGTATTCAAGATCTTCAAGAAAGGTAAGAGAAGTTGGTATGGGTAAAATATGACTCATAAATATATCAGTAAAGACAACAGGGTATGACTCATAATTATGTATTAGAATTTTTTATTATAAATAGAGATCTAACGCCACCTAGACACCAAGACGTAAGCATATTATCGAACTTCGTTAAAATTCTTATGTTATTTCATTTACTTTTCCCCATTCTTCAACAGTATGTTCCCTTTGAGCTTGTTATCAGATAAATCAACATGGGTCAGATTCTGATGCAGGTGCCTTGGAAGAGAACCGGTGAGATTAGCATGAGAAAATGGTTACTGTCTTTAATTTATGCATATTGCCAAGGATCACATAAAGGCCAGTGGTGTTAACCGGGGTGAATGAAACGGTGACATCGGCCAGGTTAACGAAACGCGAGAGCCAGACGCCGGTGAGGCGGCGGAGGGAGCGAACGCAGGAGAAGAAAGTGAGGGAAAGGGAGAGATCAGAAGGGAAACGGATAGGGGAAGTATGACAGTTGGTGAAGGAAAGAGAATGGAGGGAAGAGAGGGACTTGAGAGCTGTGAAAGAGAGGGAAAGGTCGGCGGAGCAGTTGGAGAGGTGGAGGGAAACGAGGCTGCGGAAGGGCTCAGAGTTGTCGCAGACGGTGGCGTTGTGAGGGGAAGGTTGAATGCAAGGTTCCCTTGCGGTGGGGATGTTGAGGGAATCGAGTGCTTCTATTTGTTTGGGGTCTAGAATAGATGAGGAAGGAGAAGAGGGTGTTTCAATGGTGGCATTAGTGGTGGTAGAGACGGCGAGGAGGAGGATGAGGAGGAAGAAGAACGGTACTAAGTTAAGTGATAGCGGTGGTGGTCTACGGTCGAAGAGTTTTAGTGAGGTTGGAGCTCAAAGTGAAGAGCAAAAGACAGGACAGAAGACAACAAAGAAGAACAGGGGACTTGGGAGTCGTATTATTTTACAGCTAAAAGACTAGATTTTATGTTATCCATGCATGGGATGTACGAAACAAATAACAAGGCTCAAAGTGATAATTTTTTAAATTTTTATCACATTAAATTAAATTTATAATTGAAATTTAATAATTTTTAATCATGTTAATGGTGTGTGTGTCACATAATACAATCTCAAACATCACATCATCTAAGGAACTAACAATGAAAAAAGTTATCAAGTTTAAGATTAAAAATCAAGTTCAAAAAATTATTAAATTGGAGGACTAAAAATTAATTTATCCCAAAATACTTTTTGGAAGCTGGATTGACGTGGATTCCAACTTCCACTTTTTATTAATAGTACTAGCACCAAAGTGTTAATATTTCTATTTGGTCCAACCTTTTGTAATTTACAAGGAAAATACTAGAAAAAGAATGATGAATCCTAAGGACTTAAAATGTATTATTTTAAAATGAAGGGGACTTCATTCATAGGACCAAATGGTTTTCGGCCTTGATGACTTAAAAATATTTCTATTTTCTTATAAATGAGATTTACTTTATTAATAAGTTATAGTAGCCCAAAGAAGCAGGAACCATACGTCTAAAATGTTTAAACTCTCTAATAGGGACCGTTTGGCAGTTGAAGATAATATCGTATGTTTAAGCATTGCTTAGAAACACTTACACGCTTATGGGAACAAAATGAGTACATACAATTTACAAACTGTTCAAAATTTAGACTATAGACATCTTTCAGTCCAGTTTAAATGCAAATGGTTCACTCTTGAAGAAGACAACAATATATACCATCAGCAATCAATGGAAATGCAGCTCGAGGTAACGGTGGTGCTACCGGCGGCGTTGAATAACGGGTTGATCCGGACTCAAACGAGAGAGAACAGGGATGCCAACAGCACCGACCAAAGAACAACAATGGTTGGTGTCCTGTTTTGTCTACCCATGAGACCTTTGAGTAATGGATAAAGATGGAGGATGACCCAAAATGAAAAGAACACTTTGCCAAAGTTGGTGTCGATACCCGCCAGCATCTTAAGAATACCTTGGAACACGGCAAAGAGATGGGCGGAAACGCCTCCGATGACCCAAAACTGCTCGTTACGACATAAGTCCTGGATGCTGACTCCACTTCATCGGAGCTCGGGCACGGCGGTCACGATAATGGAAAGGAAAAGTCCAAGAAAGAGAACGCTTGCCAGGTTTGAGAGCTGATCATCATATTACAAAATGCAAAGCAATGCAAGCACTTATGAATTATGATCATGATCTTGAAAACTAAACAAGAATACAGGAACTACTAGCAATCATTACCGTGGGGATGATAAATTTCCCGGTGAGAAGACAGATTGGCGGTAGAGAACAATAAGAAATGAGAGGAAGAGTTGTGAAAGGACGGACAATGGTGTTGATATATGCTAGCCTTTGAAACCACTTAAGACGACCGCCTCCAAAGCCATACCATAGAGGACAATGCCTGCTTAGGAAAATTTCGACAGATCCAAGAGCCCATCGAAGAACCTGGTGCAACCGATCGGACAGATTGATTGGTGCAGACCCTTTGAATGCAGGCCTTAAGGGCATGCAGTAAATCGATCTCCATCCTCGGCAGTGCATTTTGAAACCGGTTAAGATATCCTCAGTGACTGAGCCGTATATCCATCCAATCTGACCAATCATATAGAATGTTCATATGATAATTAAGAATCAAAATTCGAACCTCTTTCCCCCATGCGGTCTTCTCTTCATAGCCACAGCTAAAATGAATTGCTTCCTTGCTTAGTGTGGAAGGATTTGCAGATTCAGCTCCTTCATTCTCCTTTAGTGTAGATTCGATGAAGACTGAAGATAAGCCGAAAGTTTTCTTGAAGCTCGTTTGAGATATCAGCATTGATCTTTCATAGTCATCATAGTCTACAAAATAGAACATGAGTAATATGTCAACAATTCAATAACTCGATATAGTACTAGTCAAGGTTTCAACTTACTTTCGATTTCCCTAAGGTTGAAGATGGCAGCATCGAGCTCTTCGCTTTTTGCATCCCTATAAAGTTCTGATGGATCTTTTGGGTCCTTCTTGCCCGGGCAGCAGCATAAGCAGTAGCCACACCATGAGCAAGATGAAGAAGATGATTTGGGCAAGCTAGGCATTGAAGGTGGCCCATAGTCATAAAGTGCTTGCCTATTGAAAACACAACCTGTTCCCACATAAACCGGCCCTTGAATTGTTAACCTGAAGTTGAAAATTTGGAAGAATTGTTAGAAGTCAAGAGGCTTCTTTTATAACCAAGAAGAAAACTGGGTTTAGCTTTAAGCTTAAGTCGAAGAAAACTGTGTTGCGATTTGCATATCGATCACTCCTATCTATGCCATCAAATCTTAGAGGAAACTGCACATAGCATACATCTCGACCGACTTGTGGATCCATCAGGAAGCACATTGCCTCCCTAGCCGCCTTGCTATTGTTAACATAGTGGTCACAATCGAGATTGAGAATGTATGGAGCATTTGTAAGAACCGCAGACACCCGGACCAAAGCATTTTCTGCACCAGCTTTTTTGTTGTGTTGGTAGCCAGGTCTCTTCTCTCTAGAGACATAAACCAGTCGGGAAAGTTCATTTCCTTCGATGTCACGTGCACCACTATATCCGAGGAAAACCTGAATCATGCCAGGGTGATCACGCGTGTTATTTCCCGGCCATGGAGTTCCGTCTTGCATTGTCCATCCTTCTTCAGGTGTTTTCTGAGCCTTTGCAACTAAAGCGTTGATTCTGATTTTGAACTCTTCATAATCTCTCTGTAATCAAATCGAAAGGATATTACCAAATCATACATGTTATTAGGCTCTATAATGTTCCAAGAAATGTAGCCAAAGAAAGCCTGAGGAACTTACTTTCATTTCTCTACGTTCTTTCACGAAAGATGGTTGTACTTTGTCCTTCAAGTAATCAATCTTCTGTGAGAAGTAAAACTCCGGTGCCCATGGTTCAATGGCGAACTTTTTGCAGAATGGAACCCACTTTCTTGCAAAGTCGGCTGTTTCGACTAGAGATTCAAATGTCAGCATCGCGGCACCATCATCAGATACGTAACAAGAGACCTTATCCACAGGGTAGTCCAGGGCAAGGATGGAAAGCACGGTATTGGCGGTGATCAACGGGGGTTCTTTCAAAGGATCCACTATACTCACAAAGAAGTTCACTGCAGCAAGTGCAGAAGGTTCACCTTCTCTATCATATCTGTCATGGTATCCCCAAAAAAATACGTCGTTTTAGATACAACAAGCTTAGCAACAAACCATATATTACATAGTTATGATACAGAATCAACTGAAATAAGATAACTTCTATTATTAGCAACATTAATGGTATGTCTGAATGTATTTGATCATTAGATTTGTACCTTGCAGATAGTCTATCAATGTATGTTTCCCTGTTAATAGGATACCACTTAGGGAACTGATCCAACACCCAGGAAAAGGCAAACCAGATTTCACATATGACTGAAGTGAGCCACAGGGCAAAAGCACTATCGACAGGGTTCGTTACACGGTAATGGAAGAAAAGACCGAGAATGATCAATTGCATAACAATCAAAGTTCGGTATGGTGCCAGCCTGCTTTTTGGAATCGAAATTATAGTCGAGAGGGGTTGTGAAGCATCCGCTGCCCTGCAAATGCAAATGTTGTATTTATCAGTAAGACTTGCCATAAACACAAACATTGCACTAAATTGGATCTTATCATTAATATGCTTTTTAGTTAAGTACTTACGGTTTATCTTCCATTTGCTGCTCAGGTGGGACTTGAGCTTCTGTGTCAGCCTTAGTTTTTGCAGGCTTTTTCTTCTTGCTCTTCTTTTCTGTCCAACTTTCCACTCGGTTCTTCAAAATCGGGTTCCCGTTCTCTTCGGTCATTTCTTCATGAAAACATCGGATGAGACAATTAGTGCTTTAGAATTGAATCTTTTTTCGAAAATTGATAAGAGAAATTAAATACCATAGAACAAATTGATGTTACATACCACTATCAAATGTAGACACACTGCTGATATGCCTTGCATGAACCCCAACTTCCTGTATAAACCAACATGAATATAAGAGAGCTCTCAGAATCCTAAACACTAAATTACCTTTCAAAGGCAGCAAAAACAGTACCTGAGACTTGCTCAAGTTGGCAGCCATCGTGGATTGATCGCCGGATGTCTTCTCAACATCGTACAGCAGGTTCTCTGGGGAGTTCACAGTGGTAAGTAATGCAATCACTTCAAAACATTAATCCATTACGAAGAAACTCTTCTCATGGAAAATCAAGCAAGCATTTGGAAAATAAAAGATTTATCAAGAACCAAAGGGAAATGAACTTAAAATGTAGAAGCTAGAATCAAGAACTAAATGAAACACACTGTCAGACGAACTACCGCACCGGAGACAAACTTTTCGACCTTCCTTGAGGCCGTATTCGAAACAAGTCTTGCAAACAGGGAAATTACATTCATGACAAGCCAAAAAGGGTTCACCACTGGCATTCAACCCCACATTTTCACCACAAAGTGTGAAAGCATGAGCCCCGGATTCCATCATCTCTAAAAGAACTTGGCTTTAACCCAATGCTACAATATGCTAGCCAAGGGTCTCCCTCTAGTTCTCTCAGTCCTTTGTGTCTGTTAGAGTGTTTTTTTTTTATATGAAATAAAAGAACCCAACAGAGATGACAATATGTTGTAATGGTAAAGAAAGGTTGAAGGAAGGCGTTTGGTGGCATATGGAGGGTGGGTTGGTGGTGTCATGTATTTGCAGAGAAATCTGACAATCAAAGCTTACATTTCATGTTTTCCAAGGGAAAAAAGAAGATTGAATTTGTAAATATATATATATATAGGAAATCAATCTAAAAATTCAAATTAAAGATATATCAATAAAATAATTGAATAAACTTCACCTTAAAAGATAACATAAACTAAAACTCTAGAAAAAAATGCATTACAATAGCAGGAAATAAACATTCATCATTTCTAGAAAAGGAAAGATTTATTAAATAGAACAGTGCAGAAATTTAAATATATAAAAATAAATGACTAAAAAGAGAAGAAATGAAGAGGAAAAAATATATTAAGAATTATAAATTTTTTCTATATCCAACTCAGGTAGACGAGTCATTCAACTCATGGGCAAATTTAGTGTAAATCCACACATGAATTATGTAAGCAATGATAAAACTTATATGACATGAGAAAAAAAGGGAAAGCTTTACCCATGAACTTATTTACTCTCATTGTGTGAAATACAAACTTATGTGCAAGGATGATACTATTCAACCCATGTAAACCTCTAATGTTGTCCAGACAGTACCGCCAACAATGGGTTGATCTTTTCCTTAGCATGGCCGAATTGCGGGGCAAATCTCCTTTGGCAGTAAGCTTCGTATGTTGCCGACGCTGGCCACGTGCCTCGGCGATCGACATACGATGCAGATGAGTTTTAGCTGCCTTCCAAAGGAGATTCACCCAGTAATGCATCCATGCATTTTCCAACATCCTTTGCTTGAAACCAATACAACCATGCATGCATGCATTTCACTCTGATGAAACAGTTCCAGGTCTTGAGTCCTATATATATTGTTGATGAAGAACAGTATATTCGAGGCACAATCCAGTTTGTTTAACTAGTTTCTAAACCAAACTGGTCCTATCCCTTTTGATTCCATTAGAAACGGCATCATCCTTACTAGGTCTTGACAAATGTTTATTAACCATACTGATATTTTTTCATGGTTACAAAGAAACTGAACTTACTGCCTAAATTTCAGCCTGCAGATTTCAGAAAACATCTGTCTTGCCATCTAAATGTGATTGCCTTTGCGGAAAGGAAGGCAAATCAGCATGTGGTAATGTGCTTGAACTTTCCCTGGAGACAATGTGGTCCTGGATCCTATAAGTTAAAGAACATGCATGCAAAGAGCTAGTGGAATTCCAAATGGAATGATGGCTCAGACTCAGATTTTCTGCATGGAAAAGGAAAAGTCATAGAGCATTGAGAAGGAAGATCCAGTGGCATGTTCCATTGCATATCTCTTTGATCACCAAGATTTTGTCTATTTTATGAAGATGAAGGATGACACTAAACCGATGTATGTATCCATATGATTGAAATGGGGGAATCTTTACAGCTTTGTCTTGGCATATGCTACTTCTTTCATTGGCATATCCTGAATGTATTATGTATAGAAATTATAGTTCAGATTGCGGATTCAGATATTGAACTATTACTTATTACAAATTTAGAGTATATGCGAATAAACACACTTTAATATTTATTATTTAGATCTGTATTACTTATGCATATGTATATCATGAATCAGATATGAATGATTTTGGATTACAAGATAAAGAATATATTTGTTAGCTATTGATAGCTTTATAATAGCTATTGTTGCAGAAATTCGTATATTGTACTGTCATTACAGGAACACTGTACACACTGCTACAACATAGTGGTATAGGGTACTCCAGCTTTCTGATATGTACAGAGCAGAGATTCTTCATTTTATTAACCCAAAAAAAAAACAGAATTGGCTATCCCTATAATGCTCCTACGTCCCAAAATTTATAAAATTTAAAGAAGGAAAAAATAGATTATCAATAGAAAATATTAAAAAAAATGCTTAAATTGTATAAAAGTTTAAAATTTTTAGAGATACTACCACCCCTCCGACCCTTTCGATCCATCCATGGAAGACTCTGAAATCTGGCTCAAACCAACATGGACTGGTAGCACCCATGGTTTGATTGACTGCCTGGTTCTCTGGCTCTAGCTAGTAGCTCCCGAAATCATATGAATAAATTCCCACATCATTTCCCATGCAAATTAATAATTCTAACTGAAACAGGGAATATATGGGTTATGACAACCTAATAATCCATTTTATCATTTTGGTGTTTCTTGTTAGCCCCAAGTTGCCCTTTCTCTTGCATTATCAACACACTACCTTGTTTGTCCATACTCCATAGTCGGTTGATATAAACCAAAAGTGGAGAAAGGATTCAAGTCTGCAGCACCTTTAATTATTACTGTTAATCAATGAAACCCCTTTTGTCTCTTCCCATGTCTTAAGCTTTGCAGTAACTACTTTCCAGCCGCCTTGTGTCACATGTTCATATCCCTATTGGGGCACTAACCTAATTAATTATCTGACAATCATTTCAATAAAACATCAAAATTAGCAAACAAATATTGAATTCCAACACACACTAAATTCAAAATCTATATAACATTTTACATTGAAAGATAATAGGCAAAAAACCATAAATGGCTGCTAATAAGCTACAAAGAAGAACATCAAAGCTTCACCTTCTGCAAACTCCCGCAAACCCCAAATCTGTAAGATGATGAGATATTATACTGTTGTTTTTCATCACCATTTTGTTTTACTTTGGTTCCATTATGTTTTTTTTGAAGGCTAAAAGGGGTTCCATCTTCAAAAATATTCTCCGTTTTTACAAGCTCAAACTCAAGTTGGAACAACTACAAAGAGAGTGCCAGATCCTCAGGGTTATCAGAAACGAGTACATCACTCTATTGAACCATATACAAATCCCAAAGGTGATTTGCTTTACTTAATTTCAAATATTTTCATGTTGACAGTGCCTATATATATAGATAGATGTTCTTGGTGGAGCTTAGCAGGAGGTGAAAGTGGAGAAGATTGGAGAACAGTTTGTGGTTAAAGTGAGCTGCTGCAACAGAGAAGGGGACAAGCTGGTGTCGATTCTAGAGGCGTTTGATGAACTTGGTCTGGATGTTGTTCGAGCTAGTGTCTCTTGCGGCCATTTGTTTTCCATGGAAGTCATTGCCGTTGCTCGAGGACAGCAAACAACTGGTATCAGAGATATTAAACATGCTGTTGTTAAGGCCATTGATGAAAAGCAAGGGTGGGAAGCTGGAGACGCTTGTAACAGAGGAGTTAATTGATTAATGTTGTCATGTGATTGGAATGTTAATGTTTTGTATCTAACAAAGTAACAATCTTGCTACCTTCTCAATATTTTCTTTTTTAATGGTATGAAAGAGCCTGAATTATTTTCTAAATAGCAGCAATCTAGACCCATATGATTAATGCCATGAAAGACTGAAAATGAAAAAAAAAATGAAATGCCCGAATTTCTTTAATGGGAGGTAAAAACCAAATTTTCCATTGCCGGGAATTGAACCCGGGTCTCCTGGGTGAAAGCCAGATATCCTAACCACTGGACGACAATGGAATAATATTTTTTATAATATTCATTTCTTATTGAGTTAAAAAACACAGGGAACCAAAAATTTCCATTGCCGGAAATTGAATTAAAATAATTTAAACCCGGTAGGTAGTTCAACGTCTGACCATTCCCACTATATCAACAAATATCTTCAAAATAAATTAAGAGAATTTGACAGAAACCAAAGCTGATGAAAGCTCAAAATATCAACAAAATAATGGTGTGTGCATATTGACCGTCAAAGATTATAATAAATTGATGTGATAGGGAAGATGAAAATTGTATGATCTTTAATGTTTGTTACTATATGACATGGGAGTACACAGTATGGTAAGAGTTTGGTCCATGCATTTCATAAATGGTGGTCCACTTATTGATGTCAAGGCTTCTGGACAACTCATTAGTTGGTGCTGTCGGTACCTACACTTACTCCTACGGATAAAACGAAATACAAAGCTACATATGGGTTCCATCCCAACGGCAAACCAACACTTTTTACTTTTAAGGGTGCGTTTGTTTCACAGTAAGATTATCAGTTGGAATAAAAGATTATCAGTGAATAAGATTACTGTGAATGTTGTATTTTGTGTTTGGTTGGTTTAGTAAGAATGTAAGATTATCGTGTTTGGTTAAATGAATAAAAGATTATTGGAATGTATATTTGACCAAATTGTCATTGTTAAATATTTGTTTTTTAACAAGTTGGAAAATATTTATATATATATATTTTTTTTAAATTTAAATTCATAAAATTTATATAATTTTTTTTATAAAATTGAAAATATAAAAAGGTTTAATGAAAGGGTAAAATTTTATTTTAACCCCTGAATTTCATATAAAATTTTAATTATAGTTTTTTTTGTAAATCTAAAATAGTTTAAGGATAAATTTATAATTGAACCTTCGTAGAATTTTTATTATTCAATGACAGAATAAGGATATTTTTTAAAGAAAAAAAAATTAAGGGCATTTTAGTCCAAAACGCCGGTAATCCAACAATACATAAAGAAATTATGGTAATGACATTCCCGGTAATATACCCCGAAAAATCCACTATTGGTAATGTAAGATTACCGGGAATGACATTCCCGGCCGACCAAACGGGGGAATGTGGATTCCATTCCCATGGGAATCTCACATTCCCCCAATCAAACACACCCTAAGGTTTTCTTCTGATCATCATTAATTTTTTAACGGTGGATAATCAAAATGAAACGTTTTAAAAAAATAATTAAGTGATCAAAACGCAACAAAAGTAATAGTTAATGTAACAAACGAATAATTTACCTAATGCTTTATAATCATAAGGAGTTTCTTTTAGTTTAAGAATGGGGAAGTGTGTGATTTGCAACTTAATAAAAGAAAACTTTATCCAACTTGATCCAAACCATCTTGTTTCCCACTTTACATGGATGTAGGAAAAAAGTGTAGTCATGTGCATTCCATTACAATCCATGTTGTAATTAATTATTAAACAATAATTAAATCGTTAATCTTATAATAATCTTGTTTGTTCAATAGAAAAACATTATAATATTTGCCATTTGTAAAACGATTTCTACTAAAATATATTTATGTCGATAGTCGCGCATGTCGTGCCTAACAAGTATATGAATGCTGGGTTTATGCAAATCTTATTCAACTTTTATTTTTATTTTATTATTAAAATTCGAGTATTATTCACTTATTTATTTAATAGTATAAATAGAGATAAATTTTATTGATTTTTTAATATTTATTTTGATGTAAATTATAATGTTTTTCATCTATCTATTTAATAGAATACGTTTAGATTAATCGCGTCAATTTAAAATATTTTTATTAAGCAGAGGAATATTATATCTTTCAAAATAAAATAAAATTTTAAATTATATAAGGGTTATTGCACTTCTAGTCTCCAACTATCGTTAAATAATTCATATATAATAAAAATATATTTAAAATATATAAATTAAAGTATAAATACATGTCTATCATATAAATAACTTGAATCTAACATATTAAAAAGTTATTATCAATAAAATGTAATATGGTTATTTTCTTTTTTTTCTTATAACCACATTTTTATTTATTAATCGATTAATTTGAAATAAGTAGTGCCGAGGTAAGGGCGAGTCTCCCAATTCAATTTGCTCCATTCACAAACACCAAGGTTTGAATCCTTAGTCTGACTTAAGAGATCTAGTGTCTCATCCTACTAGGCCAACCAGTTATTGATTTATTATTTTTCTTTTTTAACACCCGAAAACCTATACATGATACACTCGTATTTACAATATTTTAAACATGTTTCACTCCATATTTAAATGGATATTTTTAAATTAATTATTAGCTTAACAAAAAGATTAATTAATAAGATAAAATTGCTTGATAACAAACCTTCTATTCATGAGTAGAATGATTGCAGAAGAAAGAAATCCATAGTTAAAAACTGGGTCATTTTCAAATAAAACTTTGAATAAAGATAAGTTTTAGGATTTTATATACATTTGCTTGCACGACCTGTATAAATAAATAAACAAAAGGGGGTCTAAAACTCCAATTGATCTGTCAACAACATGCCGCCCCTAGCTCATTTTTAAAAGGACCACCCTTTTTTGTTTCTTCTTCTTCTTCCTCGACCTAACCCCCTCTTCTCTCTCCTTTGCTTAATCAGTCAGCATCACCACGAAAACTCTTCTGAATCATCGAAAACCATGGTTAACCCTTTTGTCAGCAAGAATCAACGAGGATCAGAAGAAAACGACAGCGTTTCATCTGAACCCGAAACTCCTCCTCCTCCCAGCTTCAACCATATGAAACTCACTTCCCCTCGGAAAGGGTAATTTTGTTCTATCCCTATGGATAAGTATCAAAATTTTGTGAAGTTCGTTTTTTTTGGGTGTTGAAGTGATGGGGTTTTGTTAACTGTTTACACTTTACAGTACTAAAAGATCCATGCAGAAAAGGGTGGTGTCGATACCAATCAAGGAAGTTGAAAGTTCCCGCCTTAAAGGTGAGAGTAGTGCTCCGCCGTCGGATTCTTGGGCATGGCGGAAGTACGGCCAAAAACCCATCAAAGGCTCACCTTATCCCAGGTAACTAAAAATCATTTAAAGATATACAACAAGGGCAGTACGTTGTTTAGGGTTATGTATTGTAAATTTGTTTGAAAGTTCCCGCCTTAAAGGTGAGAGTAGTGCTCCGCCGTCGGATTCTTGGGCATGGCGGAAGTACGGCCAAAAACCCATCAAAGGCTCACCTTATCCCAGGTAACTAAAAATCATTTAAAGATATACAACAAGGGCAGTACGTTGTTTAGGGTTATGTATTGTAAATTTGTAATCATCAAACGTTTTGATTGATGTTTTTGTTTTTCATATTGCGGCACCGGCCGGCAGGGGTTACTACCGGTGTAGTAGCTCAAAGGGATGTCCGGCGAGGAAACAAGTCGATAGAAGCCGTGTAGATCCTGCAATGTTAGTGATCACTTACTCCTGCGAACATAATCATCCTTGGCCAGCTTCTAGAAACAATAAATCCGCCGCTAAACAAGCTGCTGCTGCTGCTGCTGCTGCGGCGGCGGAAGAAGCAGAGACGCCAACTAAATGTACGACAGTTGTAAAGCAGGAGCCGTCCACATCGCAGCCGGATACTGAGCCGGAATCGGGGATGGAAGATAGCTTCCCTGGTTTGACGGACGATTCTATTCTTACGACGGGGGATGAATTCGCTTGGTTTGGGGAGATGGAAACGGCGTCGTCGACAGTTTTGGAGAGCACCTTATTTGCGGAAAGCGATATCGGAGAGGCGGATGACGCAGCGGTGATTTTCCCGACGAGGGAAGAGGACGAGTCGTTATTCGCCGATCTGGGCGAGTTGCCGGAGTGCTCGTTTGTGTTTCGGCACCATCGGAATGTGGGACCACAAGTTGGGATCTGCTGACACGTGGATAATTAACAACTAGCAAGTGGTGAAGTAGTTGGTTCCTTCGTCGTCCGGTACCCTTTGGATGGTGAGAGAAAAATGAAAAACCAAATTTTTTTTTATTTTATTTAAAAATAATAATTCTTACATTTGGAATTTCTTATTTTTGTTTCACAGTAATTAATTTGCCTTGATTTCTGTGCAGTATATGCATAATTAAAAAATTCCGAAATTACAAACTCCGTCCTTATCTTTTATCTTCACCAACATCGTCGTTTGTTATAGGGGCTTAATTGAAAAATAATCAATTTTATCTCACCTAAAACCAGTATGTTCACCAGCATTTCTTGATTTCTCCCTCTCTCTTAAACTCGATTTTAGCTCTCCTTACTAAATTCGCTAAAATATATTATATAAATATCGATATTATAATATATTATATAAAATAATAATAAATAAAATGAGTAGTTGAGGGAAGGACTCAAGTTGATATTAACAAAGGATTAAAATTTTTTAGTTGCTTTTATAATAATTGGTTAATAATTACTGTTAATTAAAATAATATAAAGTTTTGTCCGCACTTAACAGTGGTGGTTAGTTTTGAACGTATCGCACGTTTTATCAATGAAATTTAAATTTAATTAATTAATTAATTAAGCTTCTTATGGATTATTGCACAGGGATGCTTAGTTAAGACAAATGCCAGCTTAGAGAATCAAGGCCACCTTTTATGACGTGTTAATAAGGGCCTAAATTATTTTTTCTAATAATTTAAAGTGATTATAAGATAATATTTGTTTAAATTTTTTTTCATTGATTGACAACAAACATATCCTACAAACGTAATTACTCGAATTTACGATCTCCATAGAAAATATCTTTTTTTACTAATGAGATCACTTAATAAATACTTTAAGTCTATAAATTTAAATATTTTTTTTACTAATGAGATCACTTGATAAATATCTGAAATTTCAGATAGTTTGGATCGAAATTTTTTCGCACCCATAGCTTCAATAGGCAAATACCCTTTGGAAAACATATACAACCTATTGCCCGCCACACTCCTTGTGCCAATGAATAAAGTTTGATAATGACAGATTTAGAAATATTTTTTTGAGAGCATACACATGTATGTTAACGATAATATAAATAAATGAATGTGGTGAGTAATAATAAAATTTTAGGGTAGACATCATTGATAAAATAAATAATTAATCGAAATTTTTTTGGATTTCAGGATAAATATGTCCCACCATCAAATAAATGTGGATTCGCCGTTGGATGTCGATCAAACCTTCCACAAATATGTCAGATTCCGACAATATCCAATCCCTCGAAGAATATATATCGTCTATTATCCTCCACAACTCTTTTTGATGAATACCAGACGATCCTATAACTAGGGATGGGCATGAGTTGGGTTAGGTGGGGTTTTTGGTCCACCTGACACGACCCGAGAATAAGGAATAAATATATAAGGTAAAATTATTTATTTTTTTCGGGTCGGGTTTGGTCGGGTATTTTTCACCCTAAATCGAACCCGAACATCACATTAAAAAAACCCAAACCCAAACCCGATTTTTTTATTAAAAAACCCAACCCGATTGTGAAGCGATGACTCAATTCCGGTTGTAATAATTGAAAAGCACATAAAGCATTAGGGTTATATTCTCAATTTTCTAGAAACTAGAATTGGCAATCGGCCTTTCCTTTAAAAATCGAAACATTTTTAAATCAAAAAGTCGACGTTGGTTTGGATGTTGTTTTAGTTTAAAGTTAGGAGGAAGAATCAGCCGGTAGCAAGTTCGACTTCCTGTGAACGCACGTAGCGGTGGTCCGCTAAGAAAATTAAGATCGAGTTTGATTCTCATAGAGACAACATAGTTCGAGTCGAGTTTTCCCAAAACTTAAAACTGAGTTGACGCTGACGACGATAGCCGTAATTAGTCCACAGAAAGACTGGAATTTCAAATATAGCTTTTAGATTGTCGGTTTACAAGAGAGAAAAATAAGTTACAAGGGTTTGACATTGTAGACAATAACCAACTGTAATCTGAAGTGAAGATTTTATTCAATGATCAGTTGAAATTGAGGCAAAACAAAAACTTAAGGTTGTTTTTATTATAATTGAATTTTTATCTTAATTTATTTTCTTACGTTCTTTCTTATTTTATTTTACAATTTTTCAGAACAAACTCCCCCATTTTATCTTTATTTTTACCCAAAATCAGAATCAAAAAGCCTTCTAAATCAAAAACTCCAAAGTCTCTATGGATCAACCCTTACTTCTTTTTCTTACTCTCTTTCTTACTTTTTATTCTGAGAATAATGAATTTTATTTGACAATAAAATCACGTTTGTCACTCTTATATGATTAAACCTGACTTATGTATATAATTCATTTTTATTAGGTAAAATAAGAACCTAATTTAAAATAATAATATAGGAAATAACATTATTACAATTATCTTTAATTATATTATTTTTTCAAATTAAATTAAATTTTTTTATCCTAAACTCAAAGCACCCAATCTCCCCTTTGAAAAAACCCGACCCGATAAGCTTAAATAATATTCGATAAAGTTAAAATGTCTTTGGTGAGTTTTCTTTTGATATTAAATCATTGCCAAAGACTACTTAACCTTATTGAATACTCAAACTTTAATGTTGAAAAATTGGATAAAGATAACGAAAAAACATAAGAATTTTAACGAGGTTCGGTAATGTGCTTACGTCCTCGGTGCCTAGGCGACGCTAGAAGTTTTATTCAATGTCTTATAGGTTTAGGTTACATCTCTATTTATAATAAAAAAATCTAGTACATAATTACATAATTAACCTTGTACCGTACCGCGGGGTTGCGCCCTCGCACCCCCAACCCACATAATCGTAACCCCCTCTACGAGACTTTCTTTGTAAGGACAGTGGATGTTCGCTTCGCTCATTCCGCTCCATCCCCTGTCCTCTTTACTGGTATATTTATGAACCACACCTATCATTTAAAGCCTAAACTAATACAAATATAATCTTCTCCGCAGTATATATAATCATAATCTAACCCTATCTCTCTAAGTCGTAGCTACCTAACCTTCATCAACAATGGCCAATGCTGATGCTGCCGCTCAAGGTGAAGATGAAATCGTCGACAGGATGAGCGATTTGACTGATGAACTTCTCCACCATATTTTTTCTTTTCTTGACTTCATCAATCCATAAGATTAAGCTCTTTAACGTCAAGATATCGATACTTATGGAGGTAAGTCCCCACAATTGATTTTTGGGACAATCATAACTCGAAACGTAGCTTCCAAAAACTCATTGAAAATGCCTTGAAATACCATGAAAACTTGGCAATCATCCACAATTTTCGTCTCTGGTGTGTCAGTCTTCCATGCAAGGAATCTCTGATTTCTAAGTGTATCAATTCTTCTACAGCAGCAAGTTGTTCTAATCTTCGAGTGCTGGATATTCATCTAGCCGGGAGGTATCTTGTTGATTTATATCCTATAATCTTTTCATGTCGAATACTTACGAGTATAATATTATCTAATGGAATCGTTATCAACGAAATTCCGACCAATACTCGTGTGTTCTTCCTCTGTCTTAAGACCCTCCGACTTAAATCGATTTCCATGTTTGGTGGTAACACACCGAGCAAGCTTCTCTTCGGCTGCCCTCTGTTTGAAATTTTTAATATTGAAAATTGCTATATTCTATCAGACATGTTCAGACCCACTGTTGCCATCATGTGACTACACATAAAATACAACCTTAAACCTAGTGGGATACTTGAAGATTGTGATTCAAATCGTGTATTATCCCTGGCTTCTGCATGCATTATTGCTGTTAGAACCCGTAAACACAATTCTCATGTCAAATTTGATCTTTTTTTTTACTTTTCTATGCATAGTTTCTAAATAAACTGGTACAGTAAAAGAAAGATGAAGTTCAACCAAAGAACCCGAGGCCTACAAGTTGAACAGTTGCATCATATGCATGCCTAATGGCTTGGACCGGAAGGTGTTGTTCAAGGCTTTTTGACATGAACTGAGAGCATGTCTCGAGCAGCGGTGGTTTCTCCCTCACTCGAATCCGTTATTCAAATTGCAGAGGCAGTTCTCGATGTGAAGATTGGGAATAGTATCATCAGACTGATGAAGGAAACATATAGTTGATGGAGGAAGGTGAACTGGGAGGGTGATTTGTTAGACATTAATGTTTCCCCAAACATTTTCATGGTGCAGACAGACTCTGGTTACTACCTCTTCACATAAAACAACATTATCCTAATTAAAAACCACACACTACATCTTCACCCTTTCATGTTGCCCCCTCACCACTTCAATTGAACCCGGGTCTAATGCTTGGAAGACAATTATCCTAACCGTTGGACTACAAACGCAGGATGCACTGGTTTCAAAGAAAATAAATATATAAAATAAATCATTGTGGTAATATTGCCCCTTTCACAAACGAATGGGGATTTGCTTGCGTTATGAAGATAGCATCGACTTTTCTCAAGAGCTAATAGATAATAGTTTAATTTAACTTAAATTAAGTTTATTATTTGACATTTCTATCTTCATGAGCTTTCTGGTGGATATAATTCTCAAGATTCGCTTTATTATTGAAGTGTGTACATTTGTTATTACTTTTATTGAAAGTCAACTTCTTGTTCTTGTTAAAATTATAAATAAATAAAACTATCGCACCCTTTTGGTCGTCTCCTCATCAAATATTAGTTGTTCTAATCTTGAAAGGTTGGATATTAATCTAGTCACGGGATTTCTTGTTGACTTATCTCCTACTATCTTTTATGTCAAAAACTTGTATAATATTTTCCGGTGGAATCGTTAATGGCTAAATTTCGACCGACACTCTTGTGTTCTTCCTATGTCTTAAGATCCTACGACTTGAATCTATTTCCATAGTCGGTGGTAGCACGTTGAACAAGCCTCTCTCTGGCTGCCCTAGGTTTTAAATGTTTGATATCGAAAGTTGCTATGTTCTATCTGACATACCCACACCCACGATTACCATCAAGAAACTATACATACAACATTAAACCTAGTAGGATAGATGGAGATGGTGATTCGAATCGTGTATTATCATATATTATTAACACATTAAAGTTCAACAAGCCTCTCGGTTTTAAATATCTTTCATGTCGAAAACTTACGTATAAGATTTTCCGGTGGAATCGTTAATGGCTAAATTTCGACCGACTCTCTTGTGTTCTCCTATGTCTTGAGATCCTACGACTTGAATCTATTTCCATAGTCGGTGGTAGCACGTTGAACAAGCCCCTCTCCGGCTGCCATCGGTTTTAAATTTTTGATATTGAAAGTTACTATCTTCTATCTGACATACCCACACCCACGATTACCATCAAGAAACTATGCATACAATACTACATTAAACCTAGTAGGATAGATGGAGATGGTGATTCGAATCGTGTATTATCATATTTGATTAACACATTTAAGTTCAAAGTTTATATATCATATTTAACTTCGTGTATGATGTGAATTACAGGATGAAATTTACAAGAATCATGATGTAAATGGAATGATACTTTGGCAAAATTTGATACACCTCCTGGTGAAAGCTAATCTGTGTTTGTATGACTCTCAAGTTCTGTCTCTCTTATTGGGACATTCACCTAATTTAATTTCTTCGGTTCTCGAAAAGGTAGATCTATAAATATAATTTCTTTACCTTTTTGATTGCCTTGACATTGAAATAGGGTTAGTTAATGGTACTGTTTTATTTATAAAATGGACCACAATGCGGCTTACACTTGCAACATACCTAGAGGTACTTGTATTATCATCTCATTTACTCGTTCAATTTCTTGGTATGAAAATAGTGTCCTTTGAGCAACTTCTTCAAAACCAATGCATTCTTCAAGAAGTATTTCACAAATTCAAGTCGAGTACTCTAATAATAATATTAACATTCACGTAAAGTTACCACTAAGATTTATAATCATGGACGTACCTTTTCGAGAAATAAAGAGATCAAATTAGGTGAATGTGCCAATAAGAGAGACAAAGCTTGAGCGTCATACAAATTATTACTAGCTTTAACCACAAGATACGCCAGATTTGGCCAAAGTACCGGTCCATTCACGTAATTATTTTTGTAAATTTCATTCTGCAACATCATACGTAAAATTAGATATAAACATTAAATCAAATTTTGGGACTTACCCTGATCGTGAATAACATCATCTGCTGTACTATACCAGAGATTGAGTTCAAAAGATCAAAGGTGACTTGAGCGTTGTAATCACGGGTTGTCTCATCAGAAATGAATGCAAAGCCCAGGGATGATACACGATTTGAATCACCATCTTCATGTATCCCACTAGGTTTAATTTGGTATTTTATGTGTAGTTTATCGATCATAACCGTGGGTGTGGATATGTCAGATAGAACATAGCAACGTTCAATATTAAAAGTTTCAAACCGAGGGCAGCCGGAGAGAAGCTTGTTCAACGTATTACCGCCAACAATGGAAATCGATTTAAGTTGGAGGGTCTTAAGACATGGGAAGAACAATCGAGTATCCGTCGGAATTTCGTCGATATTGATTCCACCAGACAATCTTAAACTTGTAAGTTTTCGACATGAAAAGAGAGTAGGAGATAAATTAACAAAATACCAGGTCTCGGCTAGGTGAATATTTGCATCTTGGAAGACTGGTATAGCAAAGAAGAATTTTTCGGATGATTGACAAGTTTTCATGGAACTTCAGGGCATTTTCAATGATTTTTTCAAAGCTACGTTTTGGATGATAAATGTTCGAAAAATCAAAACTGGGGACTGACCTCCATAAGAACCGATATCTCGAGGATAGAGAGTTTAATCTTATGGATTGATGAGATTCAAGAAAAGAAAAAATGTGGCATAGAAGCTCATCAGGAAAATCGCTCATCCTATCAACGGTTCTCTCTTCACCTTCAGCGGCTGCAGCCTCAGCTTTGGCCATTGTTGATGAAGGTTAGCTAGCTATGACCTAGAGAGGTAGGGTTAGATATATATATATATATATATCCTTGAGACGATTTTATTTGTATTAGTTTAGAATTAAAATTTTAAACAATATTTTAAAAAAAGTTCATCTTAAGCGTTCCACAAGGTTTAGGAGTCTTTGCCAATGATTTTTTTTAATATAATTATATAAAAACCTTTTCTACGTGGTTTTTTTATCCTTAATTAAAATAAATAAATTATATTAAAAGAAGACTCCTTAACCTTGTCGAATACTCCAACTTTCTCAATAATATTTTTTAAAAGTCTAAGTTCTAAACTAATACAGATATAATCTTCTCCACAGTATATATATATATATATATATATATATATATATATATATATATATATAATCTAACCACCTCTCTAAGTCATACCTAGCAACCTTCATCAACAATGGCCAATGCTGAGGCTGCCGCAAAAGTTGACAGGATGAGCGATTTGCCTGATGAGATTCTCTGCCACATTTTTTCTTTTCTTGAATCTCATCAATCCATAAGATTAAGCTCTCTATCCTCAAGATATCGGTACTTATGGAGGTCAGTCCCCACTTTTGATTTTTGGGACAATCATCATTCAAAACGTATCTTCGAAAAACTCATTGAAAATGGCTTGAAGTTTCATAAAAATTTGGCAACCATCCGGAAGTTTCGTCTTTGGTGTATCAGTCTTCCATGCAAGGAGTCTCTGATTTCTAAGTGTATCGATTCTGCTACAGCCGCAAGCTGTTCTAATCTTCAAGTGTTGGATATTTATCTAGGTGAGGGGTATCTTGTTGATTTATCTCCTATTATCTTTTCATGTAAAAAACTTACAAGTATAAGGTTGTCTGGTGGAATCTATATCAACGAAATTCCGACCGATACTCGAGTGTTCTTCCCATGTCTTAAGACCCTCCGACTTAAATCGATTTCCATTGTTGGCGGTAACACATTGAACAAGCTTCTCTCCGGCTGCCCTCGGTTTGAAACTTTTAACATTGAACGTTGCTATGTTCTATCTGGCATATACACACCCACGGTTATGATCAATAAACTACAAATAAAATACCAACTTAAACCTAGTGGGATACATGAAGATGGTGATTCAAACCGTGTATCATCCCTGGCTTCTGCAAGCATTATTGATCTTAAAACCCATGAACACAATTCTCAAGTCACCTTTGATCTTTTGAACTCAATCTCTGGTATAGTACAGCAGATGATGTTATTCACGAGTAGGGTAAGTCTCAAAAGTTGATTTAATGTTTATATCTAATTTTGCAGATTTTAATTTAATGTATGGTGTTGCAGAATGAAATTTACAACAGTAATTATGTGGATGGACCGGTATTTTGGCCAAATTTGAAGCATCTTGAGGTTAAAGCTAGTGATAATTTGTATGACCCTCGAGCTTTGTCTCTCTTATTGGCACATTCACCTAATTTGATCTCTTTGGTTCTCGAAAAGGTACGTCCATGGATATAGATTTTGGTGTTCTATATTTTAGGTTAAGTTCATACAATTGTATATGAATGTTAATATTATACGTAGATTTGACTCGAATTTGGTTTAACCTATGATACTTTTATATTGATCTAACTCATACTTTTACTACTTATTACAGGAATATCAATATTGCTATGATAATTTGCAGACAAATTTGTTACCAAACGTTTTATACAAGAAGCTTGACACAGTTAAAATCGGTGGATTTGATGGAAGAAGAGAGATGGGAGTTGTGAAATATTTCTTGAAGAATGCATTGGTATTGAAGAAGCTGATGATAGGACACTGTTACAACACTGGGGAAATAAATGAAGAAACAGAGGCAAGGATCTTGAAAGAACCAAGAGCTTCTGCTCAATGTAAAATTGAATTTTATCAATTTAGGATGTAAAATTGATTATATATATTAAAGCCCTTTTTCTTTTTCGCATTTTCTATGCATAGTTTCTAAATAAACTACTAGTACATAAAGAAAAATGAAGTTCAACCAAAGAACCTGTGACGCCTACAAGTAGAACAGTTGAATCATATGGTTGGCCAAAATGGGCATGATATTGCCCCAATGGCTTGGACTGGAAGGCGTTGTTCAAGGCTTTTTGACATAAACTGAGAGCATGTTTCGAGCAGCAGCGGTGGTTTCCCTCTCGCTCGAATGCGTTTTTCGAATTGCAGAGACGGTTCCGGATGAGAAGATTGGAAATAGTATCATCCAACTGATGAAGGAAATATATATAGTTCATGGTGGAATGTGATTTGTGGGCCATTAAAGCATTTTCATGGTGCAGACTCCGGAACTTCCTCTTCATATAAAGCAACATTATATTAATTAAAAACGACCACACCTTTGAATCTATAATATATTCTAACGGGACTAGATTGTCGGCTAACAAGTCCGTGCGGTCTAGGCGACCCCTGGTGTGCAGTGGCCTCGGTCCTAGGCAGTCCTTGACGTGCATAGGTCTTGCTTGCGGGCAGACTGGGGCGGGCGTCCTTAGCCTTGTGCGACGCGTCTGTCCCGCTCCTATGGGTGTCCTGGTGGGTGTTCGTCTCGGCCCCATGGTGGAGGCAGTCTGCCTTGTGCTGGTTGTAGCTCTATGGGTAATCTGGTGTGGGCCGATCTTGATCACAAGTTCGCGGCCCGTGACAATATACACACACTATTTGTTTACAACATTATTTTTGGACTCTATAATTTCTTCTTAAACAAAACTCTTCAAAAGTTCAAGAGATAAAAATTCGTTTATCGAGAGTCAAACATGAATCTATTATTTGAAAGGCAATTATCCTAACCGTTGGATTACAAACGTCAGATATACAACGAGCAATAAATTTTAGAAATAATAATAAATTCATTGTTGTAATATTGCACCTTGATTCACAAACGAATTGAGATTTGTTTTGAAGTTATGAATATAGCTAGCAAATGAATTTGACCTTGGGATGTATATCATCGATGGCCAACCCCATGCCCTGTCCGTTGGAGTATAGCATCAACTTTTCTTATGATCTTTCGGATAAAGTATAAACGGACTAAAGATATATAAATAAAGAAAAGTGACCTAAAAAATCTAATTATATTCATATTAGATGTTTAGACTCGGTCCGAATAACATAAAGTAAAAGAACAATCAATCAAAAGAAATCGATATTGTTTAACTCACATCAGAAAATAAAGCATTAATTATAATGTTGTTGCTTGCGGACGCCGCTCCAGGAATCTAGATGGCACACAAGTCATCATTAATGCCTTCAAATCACCAATTTTTCTTGTTGAAATCATAAAGCACGAAAACCACATTCACAAGGCCTAGATTAGTGTTTTGTCGTTTCGTTTCGTTTTTTTTTTCATTTTCATGTATGTCTTTTACTGCTGTAATATGGTCATGTTGTCGCCATTGATGAACGTTCACATAGTTGGCTTTTACACGCATTTTGTTCTTAGGTTTCTTGTTTTTTCTTGGAAAATGCAATGCCTTGCTTGCTTAATTTATCATTATAATAAAGATTATTTTGATTATCGTTTAAGCAAAATAATAATGGATTTAAGTACCGTGACCAAATTTTGTCAGGTGGGCTTTACTTTAAAATGTTGGGTCATTCAAATTAGTTTGGTAGGTGGTCCTGAACAAAGGGATATGCTCCATCTAATTAAATTACATAAATTAAAATTTGGCAATGAAAAGAAAGTGAAATGTTGAAATTGGATTTTCCCTCGCTCAAACGCATATTTATTTCCACTTTCCTATCTACGTTTAAAATTTAACCTCTCGTACGAATTAAACGACTTTGGTGATTAAAAGATGATTATTATTTTTAGAGATCTTGGATTCAAGCACGGCATTTATAAGAGTGTTTTGAATGTTTCTTATCACATGATTGAGGATATTTCTAACAAATACTGTATTGTAATTATCTCGGACTAATAAGAAAACTTAATCCCTCGAATTTTAATGTGACTTATTTTTTATTAGATTAGATAGCTGGCATTTAAAAAGACATTCACACACGTATCTAATATTACACTTGAAAAAAAAGTTGAATAAACAAATAAAAATGTTTAAACCTAAGGCTGGATAAATGATAAAAATAAAAACAAAAGATGACGTTAGGTATGATTTTATTAAAAAATATAGTTTGATGACTAAATCATAAACATGTAAATAAAAACAGTAGTAAGAACATAATTATGGAATTAGAAATAGGGTTGAATTTTGAACATGTAAAAAGTATAGGGATTGGAACTATAATAAAACCATGAATTATTCAATTTCCCTTCTTATTATTTTGCTTCCATCCCCCTTCTTATTATTTTGCTTCCATTCCCCAAACATGTCAAGGGAGAATTGGGTAAATGGCTAAAAGACATCATATTCAACAAAACAAAAGAACCACTAATTTGGTCTGATCCTAACCAGCTTCTTTGGTGTCTGGTCACACCTACATTAAATTTTTATAAACCCCACATTTTTCGTGTAATTTCAATTCTAACCCCTACTTTCTCATTTAATTCCAAATTTCAATCCCTATAGACACACTAAGTGGCAAACTCCATAAGGGTGGAAATGACATTTCATATCAAGATAAAAAGGCCAGAAAAGAAACCTTGTTTCCGGCCCCAAAGATCATAAGCCAATCGCAGCGTTAAATCGAGAAAAATAGGTCCTCCAATCATGTCTCGCCACCTCATCACCATGACTTCACCAGTGACGTCAATTATTTCCACGTTATCACGTACTCCACCTCATCCGCAAAAACACTCTTGTCCGTATTACGTGGCGATGTCGTGAAAACGGTAAGGGAACCGGGGGTTCGTTCGGGTACTACGGCGTACCACAGAGTAATCCAAGTCTTTATCCAATGATTCAGCGCCACGTAAGGTACTTCCTACGTGTCGAAACAAAAGTGGTTAGGATACTTTTCTCGGAAGACGAAGCGTGGGGCCGAAGAGGGTAGCACTGAAAGAGACACGTGGTAATACGACTGTCTGACACGTAAGCAGATACCTCGGTCGTAGAGAGAAAGGGCGCGTGATGTGAAAAACTCAACAATGCCAGCTGGCATTACTGGGTTGTCTGCTGGCCGGCCTTATCCTCTTGTTTTTTTATATTCCAATACTTTGTATAATATAAAGGAGGAAAGAAAAAAAGGGGTTGTTAATGCGGCTCTTTGAGATAAAGAGAGGACCAGAAACAAACCCTAAAAATTTTCATATTTGCATCGAAAGGGTCATTAAAAAACACCAACTTTGTGCTGGGAAGGGGTAAGTGTAGTTTCAAAGTTCAATTTACTACCATTGTTTTGGATTCATCTAGTTGAAAAAAAGTTCATCTTTTTAGTGTAATTTTGATTATGATATTAGTTTCGGTGTTCTTCTTGGATCTTATTTATTCATGGATTTATATGATTTATGTGATTCATGTAAAGATGACATCTTTGTTGATACTCAATGCAGATCATGTCAAATTAAAAGAGTGTTTTTGGAAGTTGAACAAAAAAAATCTCGAGGGGTCTTTGTTTTTATAGTTTTAGGATCTTTGTTGATTGATTCTTGTTGAGGTTAGTATCTAAAGAAGTCGGTAAAGATGATGTCGAGGTCGTATACCAATCTTTTAGATCTAGCGTCCGGTAATTTCCCGGTGATGGGTCAGCCTCGTGAAAAGAAGCGGCTGCCGCGTGTAATGACTGTTCCCGGGGTTATTTCGGAGCTCGATGATGATCATGCTAATAGTGTTACCTCAGATGCGCCGTCGTCGGCTATTCAAGATAGAATTATTATTGTAGCTAATCAACTCCCGGTTAAAGCTAAGCGGAGGCCCGATAATAAAGGGTGGAGTTTTAGTTGGGACGACGATTCTTTGTTGTTACAGTTGAAAGATGGTTTGCCAGAAGAAATGGAGGTTTTGTATGTTGGTTCTTTGAAGGTTGATGTCGACCCTATTGAACAAGATGATGTTTCACAGCTTTTGTTGGATAAATTCAAGTGTGTCCCGGCTTTTCTGCCGCCGGACATTTTGACAAAGTTCTATCATGGTTTCTGCAAGCAGCATTTGTGGCCGCTTTTCCATTACATGCTTCCTTTTTCTGCCAATCACGGAGGCAGGTTTGATAGATCTTTATGGGAGGCGTATGTTGCTGCGAACAAGATCTTCTCTCAAAGGGTGATCGAGGTTATAAACCCTGAAGATGATTATATTTGGATACATGACTATCATTTGATGGTACTGCCGACATTCTTGAGGAGAAGGTTTAATAGATTGAGAATGGGTTTTTTTCTACATATCCCGTTCCCTTCGTCCGAGATATATAGGACCTTACCTGTAAGGGAAGAGATATTGAAGGCACTATTGAATTCTGACCTCATTGGTTTTCATACTTTTGATTATGCTCGGCATTTTCTGTCTTGTTGTAGTCGAATGTTGGGTTTAGAGTATCAATCGAAGAGGGGTTACATCGGATTGGAGTACTATGGAAGGACGATTGGGATAAAGATCATGCCTGCTGGGATCCACATGGGGCAGATTAGGTCTGTATTGAGTCTTGCGGATAAGGAGTGGAGAGTAGCTGAGCTTAAACAACAGTTTGAAGGAAAGACCGTATTGCTCGGAGTTGATGACATGGACGTCTTTAAGGGTATCAACATGAAGCTGTTGGCAATGGAGCAGATGCTGAAACAGCATCCGAAGTGGCAGGGAAGAGCAGTTCTGGTACAGATTACAAACCCGGCTAGGGGTAGAGGGAAAGATCTTGAGGAGATACAGGCTGAAATACAGGAGAGCTGCAAGAGAATAAACGAGAATTTTGGTCAGCCTGGTTATGAACCGATTGTCTTAATTGATAGACCGGTATCCCTCTGTGAAAGGTTTGCGTATTACACTATAGCTGAGTGTGCTGTAGTCACTGCTGTGAGGGATGGAATGAATCTTACTCCTTATGAGTACATTGTGTGCCGGCAGGGAGTGTCTGAATCAGAATCTTCCTCAGAATCAAATGGACCTATGAAGAGCATGCTAGTTGTATCGGAGTTCATCGGCTGCTCTCCTTCGCTCAGTGGCGCAATTCGGGTAAATCCTTGGAACATTGAATCAACTGCAGAGGCAATGAACGAGGCAATCTCCATGGCTGACGGTGAGAAGCAGTTACGCCATGAGAAGCATTATAGGTATGTTAGCTCACATGATGTAGCATTCTGGTCACGAAGCTTCTTCCAAGATATGGAAAGGACATGTAAAGATCATTTCAGAAGACGTTGTTGGGGGATCGGTTTGAGCTTTGGATTCAGAGTGGTAGCCCTCGATCCCAACTTCAGAAAGTTGTCTATTGATCACACTGTATCTGTTTATCTAAGGTCCAAAAACAGGGCTATACTATTGGACTATGATGGAACGGTAATGCCCCAAACGTCACATAACAAGACACCAAGTGCAGAGGTTATCTCTATCGTAAATTCGCTTTCTAATGATACCAAGAATACAGTCTTTGTTGTAAGTGGAAGAGGAAGAGAAAGTTTAAGCAAGTGGTTTTCTCCATGTAAGAAACTGGGAATTGCAGCTGAACATGGTTATTTCATGAGGTATGCTGTTTTTCTTTTTTTCTTTTCGCATTTGATTCCGTTTAGTGCTTCTTCAATATGTGGACTTACTTTGAAGTTGTTGATATTTCAGGTGGTCTGCTAATGACGAGTGGGAAATTTGTGGACAGAACAGTGAATTCGGGTGGAAGCAAATAGCCGAGCCTGTTATGAAATTGTATACAGAGGCCACTGATGGCTCGAATATTGAAACCAAGGAGAGTGCCTTGGTCTGGCATCATCGAGACGCCGACCTGGGTTTCGGATCTAGCCAGGCGAAGGAGATGTTAGACCATCTCGAGAGTGTGTTAGCAAATGAACCTGTGTCTGTTAAAAGTGGCCAGTATATTGTTGAAGTGAAACCACAGGTATTTTACCTCGGCTTGATTTTCTAGTTTCGAATTGTTGCAAACTGATTGAA